TATATTTTTCAAATCTTGTGCCGTTTTATATTTTTCCTGTGTGTATCGATCTTCAAATACAGCGCCATCTACTACCTTATTATAATGAATGCAGTATAGATGTGAATACATCAAAAATACCTAATAAAACAAAGTAATGGCATAGTCACCTGTACAGGATGTCCCATTAATAAAAGGTCACAAGCCATATATATGGAACCCTTAATTGCACAGCTTCGGGAATAGTATATTGAAAGACAAGTGTTACAATGCGACCTATTGTAATACGACTATCTTGTGGCACGAGTGGCGTAGCGAAGCGGAGCCACGAGTGTCCACAAGATAGGAGTATTACAATAAAGCATTGTAACACGTGTTTTTCATACTATTTTTTTCTATTTCGGGGCTTTAATTTAATTAAAAAGTAATTATGAAAAACTACAGGAAAGTTTAGAAGTAATATGTCTTAAGTTGGCAACACCATTTACGTTGACAAATTTTAAGTTGGCAGCGTAGATAAACACAACACTGACATTTGGAAACTTTAAATTCCATGAATGTGTAATTTTTTATTCGTAGATAAATTTATTTATGGTGGATGTCAGGATGTGTAAACTGCTGATTTGGAATGTATTAAGTTCTTCGTGTACCAAAAATCAAGGAAAACACATAAATTTTACATAATTTGATTTCACATCTGATGGTTTGACGTTGACATCTTGGCGAACTGCCAACTTAGGGATGAAAAGTTACCAAAAACAATGTTACAATGGAACTCATTGAAACACTGTTTTTGCCGAAAACAGTTGCACAAAATTCTCATTGTAACACCGAAATAGAAAAAAAGATTTTGTTAAGAAAAGAGGTCGAAAGAAATCGCTGGAAATTATTTTCAAGTTTCTATGTTTGATTCTAGAGAGCGTACGCTTCATGGACAAGTAGAAAAATGACTTTTTTCCTAAAATATACCCAACGAACATGTGTCAAAAATATACGCATCGCAATTGTGTATGAATTTTGCATCATTTTGACGCAGCATATATTGTTGTAGCTCATAAAATATTAGGAGTGGGGGAAGGGGAACATCTCTTTGAGGGATTGAATGTAACTTCGGTTTACATTAACCGATTTTCACATAACAAATGATTGTTAGAAATAGAAGGAGCTCTCTTCATGATATCATATTTTATAGGAATATTTTATAGTCCTTTTAGTAAAAGTGATGAGTGGTAGATGGCGCGATGTGACATTAACATAGACTTTACAGGTTTTTTTGAAAATTTTAAATATAACGATATAATTATTATATAATATTATCAAATAAGATGAAAAATTGGAAATATCAGTGACAACCACATGTCTATTTCCTAGGCAGAGAATAGAGACATGGCGAAGATACGCACATTCACAAATTCCAATCTTGATCTTGATCCAAGATGGATGTGAAACAAATCAACACATAGCAAGCGATAATTATGTCAAAGTGAATGATGGCAAAATTAACACAAGAAACAATAATTACAATTTTACAGTTTTTTACGTGGTGCTGTATTTTTTCTGCTCTTCGCAGAGTTCAAATCAACATCTTTTTCTCTTTTACTAGTCATCTCTCAGAATCTTTCTTTCTTGTTTCAATTTTTCCCATACTTCCCCAACATTTTTCTGTACTCTCTACTGATGTTGGGCTCTCCTTCTCGTCCATGCAAATTTTCTTCTCGCAACACCATTCCATAAACCTCCTAAAAGTAGCTTCGTCTGTTATTTCCTCTATCGGAACGCTTGGGATTGAGAAATTATCACTTTTGCTTTTGTCGTTGAAATGGCAGGAGCTGATTTTTGCGGAAAATGTTAATATCTGAATTGGAAAATTCCATATTCATCACGATAAAATTGCTTAAATTAATAAAATTGTCTAAGCGTCTTTACCTGAATAGGGAAGGGCTGTATCCTCTTCAGGTAAATTTATGTTCGTAGGATTCCTTCCTTCTTTGTTAACACGTTTTTTTAGGTTATACCACATGTTTTAATTTAATTACCTATCCTTGTTTTACCTATATAGGAATCCGAAACCCATTTATTAATGGGGACGTAAGTTTTTGGATGTACCTTTCGTGTAACGAGCGTTAACCACTCCTGTGGTGACGAATTGCATCACACTTGATTACATGCAATATAGAAGTTGCTAATATCCCATCACTGTACATTGCCTTTTAATTTATCTTTTGTCTTTGTCTTTAGTGTTAACGCGAGGTAATTCAGTTAGTTAAATTATTTATCTTCCTGTCTGTAAATGACATTAAATTAAGTTATCTATAGCAAACTGCAGCTGTGCTGAAATTTTGCATTTAGTTAAGTGTTGTAACCTTGCACAGAACTGCTATTTATTTACTGTTTTATGTCATTAAAGATCTTTTGTTTATACCCACTAGTGCCCGAGGATTCACAAAGCTTGTATTCTTATTTTATTTTTACCATCCGCGCGTTAGTAAGGGAGGTATTCCATTGGGTTAATAAATGACCCACTTTTTTTTTACGGAAATACATGTTTCGCATCGGGCATGCACAAGTGTGTCAAATTCTCATTTCCGGCAAAAGGGCTGAACCGATTGGAACAAAATTTGGTACCTACACATATTTTTAGACATAAAAGAGAGGACAAAAAAGTTTTTGGGCTGATCGCGCATACGCAGGTGTGCGGGTGGTATCTGTGCTAGCCAAAGCAAACTTTTAGTTTATATTTTGGTTTACTTTTTGGCGTGACTTGCGCACACCTGGCGCCCAAAAATTATATGAGATTTGTCAAACTTTCCCCTCAACGTTTTCCCTGGCTAGTCGTGGCCAATTCCCTTTTCCTTTTCGAGGTTTACGCAATGGCTATTGTTGATGTCCTTACACCCCTTTTCAAACGTCACCTGCGTACCTTTGTTCGCAACCACACAACCACATTATCCCTGTTTGGTGGCTTTTTCCCGCCCCAATCTGAAATCTCGACATATAGCACACTTCTGCATATTATTACCTATATGTTAAGTGAGATATAGTGTACACACTATAAAGGAAGTGACAACAATTTCCTCAAAACCATTCCCCGCGTATCTAAAAAATTGTACTTAGTTTCGACGTAAAAATCATCATCTGGTGCTACAAAATTGTTATGAGTAACAGTAAGATAAAATTTATAGTCTAACGTAAGTAATAATACTCGTATATTTATAGTATGAATATATACCTTATTTATGGGATATATTTATTTATTTATGTATTTATTTATTTATTTTGCTTTTATTTGTGAGTGGGCGGGGTTTCAGCCAAGGTTACAATAATATTGTCGCAATCGTTTCCCGCAAAGCGCCTTCCTCCCCTTGGGTTCGAGATTAATTTCTACCAATCTGGTGTATCTGGAGAAAACATCCCAACTTCCAATACTACACAAACGCGATTTCTTTTTTCGCACAAATTTTGCACTCGTAGCATCTGACACCATCTAAAACCCTCAGTCCAATACCTTTCCTTGCGAACGCAGGTTCATTTTCAAACTCGGGACATGCAACACATTATGTATTTCCATCTGGATAAATATCCTCGATATTATATGATTAAATTACGACTTTACCAATCCCAGCTGCCATAATTGTTGATCCGTCGGTAATTTTTACTGCTCTCGATTCACCTAGGTTGTCGTACATGTTTTACATCTTTCGATCATTACACATAAGCTCATATGCCCCACTGTCCAGATACCATTCAGTATCTAACTCCGACGAACGTCACACCTCCCTCACCACTACCACTGCCCTCCTCCTTTGTTTTCTGTTACAGAAGATACAATCCATATTTTTAAACCGTCTACCACTTCTGCATTCGTCCTTTTTATGCCCGGATTTACCACACGAGAAACACTTGAATGAATGTGATCTGCGATTTTTGTCTTGCGGTTACTGCAACTGTCTCCTCGCCCGAACCCAAACGTTTTGCTTCTATCAGTAACCTTGCACTTAAATTTATTAGATTTCGTTTGTCTTCACTTCCACATCCTCCAGTTATTTTCGTTTAGTTTTATAAACTTGGTCATTACCTATTGCTCCATTGAGTGTAATTTATTAAAGCAAACGAAAAAATTGTTCTCAACAGTATTTTTCTTCTCACTTCTCATTCCAGCAGATCCTCGCACAAGCACACGCCCTTACGAGTAATCTGCTGTTACTAACGAAAACATTTTAATGACCCCATTTCGAATACCATCGCATACCATGTTGTATAACATCCATTAGATTAAAAAACAATAGATTGTACGTAGGTACCCCAAGGCTCATGATCCAGTTGGCTAAGAACATTGATGGTACTTGTACGATGTCCATGGATTTGATCTTCGGTAACAAAAAGGTGTATGATGGTGCGCCCAGTAGCAATGAACTTCAATGTCGAAATGAAGGTGAAAGTTAAGTGCGACAACTTCTTCATTTCGGCTTGATTAATTCGTGCAGAAAGATCATTTCGTCAACTAAACAAATATCTTGTATCGCACTGACCTACAATTATGCAATCGATACTAGAAATGAGAATAGGCGTTACTATTACCATACTTTCAACTTAGCTACACCCTATATTGTTGAAGCATATACAAAGTAATCGCGATCAAAAAATCTAATCAAGTTCCTTTAATGAAATTGTGAGATTAGATAATACCAAAAGTGGCGTGCCTCGCTGAACTTGTTCACGTTACCCAATTTCCAGATTATGCTAATACCAAATAAGGACTTTTATAGTCTTATTGGACGGAAAAAAGGACGAATGCAACCGGTCCTTGCTCAGGAAGTGAAAATAATGGATTTATAAATAGGGGCAACCGCATAACGGCGTTTGTTGATAGAAAGATAGCGTTTTGAGTGCACGCGGTAGGGATTTACATTTATCTGTTAAACACTTTTACCACTATCGCGTAATTATTATTCTTTGGAGCTTTCACTTTATTGTTGACAGACGATTATGCCGGTGCAGAGGTAATATATCAAGAAGCGGCATGCTTTGTACATTTATCTTGTGTGGGTAAGTCTCTCACTTGATCATCAAAAATCATTTTTAACGCTTTGTGAATCGTAAGTAGTTGTACTTATGCATCAATTTAGTGCTTCTTGTTGAGTTAACATTCAAATAAGAGGTATGTTGACGTAATAACAGGCTAAAAGGAAAAACAAAAGATCTACATTCCTTATTTACGTTTTTGGAATCTCAATTATCTGCTTGAAATTGTTATAATAACCATTTAGTAAGGCAGTAGGGCGAGTTCCCTCAAGCTCAAACCCATTTGTTAACAAGAAGAATAATTGTTCGCAAGAACAATGTGTATGTATACGCAAATTTGCCATGTGAGTAGGTTTATATGTTCGCATTGTTTTGGGGAAGATTTTATTTGGCAAATGTTTATTTAAACACCTAGCATAACCCCGGGTCTGGATTCTGGATTACGAGAGGAGGGTGTGGACAGGGTCCGCGCGTACCTAGGCCTCAAATTTGGGCCTTTTGTACTACCTCCCTGACTAGAGTCGTTCGACTTCTCAACGTCACTGAAGCCATCCTACACTACACCTGATATAAACCTACCCAATAATCACAAGGACGTTTATTAAACGTTATAGTTTTACACGTTAAAAATGTATAATTTGTGCTAGTATAACATACCAAGCCCATGTCGCGCTATTAAACATATATTTAAACGTATATTATACGTTAAAAGTATATTATTTTTTTATGTAATTGGCACCGAATTCGCTACGTACATTTTAAGTTTAATGTGTAGTATTTGAAATTTATTATAAACGCGTAAAATTGGAATGCAATATAGTTATATTATACTAGTATATTTAAATCTGTGATTATACGTATAAAATTTTTAAAAATATACATATTCTGTTATGAGCCCGTATATAGGTACAAGGTTTCAATACATGTTTTTTGAAATGCAAAATCAATACTATACCATACGTTTAAAATCGCCGTATTAAACATATTTTTATATACAGGGTGTTACACGACCGTTCGAAAAAAAAATCGGGTTGTAGAGGGCATCAAAACAAGCACTTTTTCCAAATAAACCGAGGGTCCAACGTGTTTCGTTTGGGAGCCACCCCCCAAAGAGTGTTGAAATCTGCATTTCTTCTATAATTTTTTTCTCAGCAACCATAAGAGTTACAAAGTCGGGTGGGATGTCTTTGAATAGGTTTTTGGGTATGCTCTTTCCGATTTTGCAATTTTTTTTTCAAAATTCCTACCCCTAAAGGGCGCACCCCTAAACTAGGGTGCAAAAAAAAATTCTGATTTCGACGAAATTTGGTATCTGGGGTTTTTTTAACATGAAAATCATGAATCTGAAATTAGTTTTTGAAAATTCGAAAAAAGAAGTTCCACTGCAATTCTTGGCGGGACAACGAAAATAGAGATAATTCCACGAAATTTGTTGTGTACATACTAAACGAGTTAAGGAACAAAACTGTCGAACAGTTTTTTAAAATAACTTTTCAAACAAAAGTTATACTCATTTGAATGAATGTTGGTCCTTCGGGTCGCGAAGTGTCCCAAGCCTACTAGTAAGCCATAATTTCGCATGTGTTGGTTGACAATGTCGCAAAAACAAAAGATTAACGGTTTGAGGCGATATTTTGTTATTTGGAATTAATTCGGTCATTAAATGATTAAAAAATTCGATGTATCGATTAAAACACCTACCAAGGTATTTTAAAGCGCTGATCGATTTATTTATTATCTAAATAAGGTAGGGGAAAAAGTCAAATCACTTTCCGTATGATACTTTTTCACTATGATCAAAAATTTTCATAATCTTAGGTTGAAAAATAACTTCCAAAAGAACACGCTCCTTTTAAGGACAAATAATAAAATAATAAAACTTTTCCCCTACCTTATTTAGATAATAAACAATCGATCAGCGCTTTAAGATACCTTGGTAGGTGTTTTAATCGATACATCGAATTTTTTAATCATTTAATGGCCGAATTAATTCCAAATAACAAAATATCGACTCAAACCGTTAATCTTTTGTTTTTGCGACATTGTCAACCAACACATGCGAAATTATGGCTTACTAGTAGGCTTGGGACACTTTGCGACCCGAAGGACCAACATTCAAATGAGTATAACTTTTGTTTGAAAAGTTATTTTAAAAAACTGTTCGACAGTTTTGTTCCTTAACTCGTTTAGTATGTACACAACAAATTTCGTGGAATTATCTCTATTTTCGTTGTCCCGCCAAGAATTGCAGTGGAACTTTTTTTTTCGAATTTTCAAAAAATAATTTCAGATTCGTGATTTTCATGTTAAAAAACCCCCAGATACCAAATTTCGTCGAAATCAGAATTTTTTTTTGCACCCTAGTTTAGGGGTGCGCCGTTTAGGGGTAGGAATTTTGAAAAAAAATTTGCAAAATCGGAAAGAGCATACCCAAAAACCTATTCAAAGACATGCCACCCGACTTTGTAACTCTTATGGTTGCTGAGAAAAAAATTAAAGAAGAAATGCAGATTTCAACACTCTTTGGGGGGTGGCCCCCAAACGAAACACGTTGGACCCTCGGTTTATTTGGAAAAAGTGCTTGTTTTGATGCCCTCTACAACCCGATTTTTTTTTTCGAACGGTCGTGTAACACCCTGTATGTAGTATACGTATAAAATATTAAAAACTATACCACTGTATGCAGTGATTAATAGTTTAATAAAATACGTATTATTTGTTATATGTAGTCATTACGTGAAATTAAACCATTAATATTAAACAGATTGGTACATATTTTATGTGTATAGTATACCTTAAAAAAACTTTAATTTCAATTTTTAATTATTAAAAATACATAATTTGTATGTATATGTATATTGTTGAGAGACCTAACCTTCACTTCTGGGAATCCCACGATTTACCTCTAGCTAGCTCAGTTGTAATTAAATGAAAACAAAATTTTTATCCGCATCTCAAGGTCCAGCTGGATTCTGCCACCCTACAGCATTCCAACAATGACATAAATAGGTGGCTTAACCAAATCCTTAAATTCCAATATGAAACTTTACCCCCAGATTTAAACAACTTGAAACAAAGTAAGAGACGCCGACAATTACCTCTCCTTGACTCTAATAAACAAAACCTGGATTGCAATGACTGGTTTAATTTCAAACAAAAAATTGCGTAAATTTCTGTTTTACAAATTGTTACAATTTTAAACAAATAAATGACACACACACAAAAAAAACAAATTACTCAAACATTACAAAAAAAACAAGACAAAACAAACCACTAACTACTACTTACTTTTAAAATTAGTCCGAATAACGTATTCCGATAAAAAAAGGTATCCGTACACAATCACGTAAACCAACCACTCAAACACCGACGTCTTCTCTCTTCGGGTACCCACAAATTCAAAACTTCCGTGTTTCCGCAAAATAAAACAAAAAACAGAACGGCGACAAACTTCTTAAACTTTTCAAAAATTCTTCTTAAACGGCAAACACAAAATTCTAATTAAACCTGGATCCACTACGCAAGAAACTTCCACAAAATTCAAAAAATAACGTAACCGAAGAAGCGCCGGTTGGCTTTGTCACGACCAAAAAGCCCCGCTCTCTTCAAAAATTTTCTATTTAAGCCAAAAGCCCTTCTCCTTTCTTCAACATCCCGTCCGCCAATCACGCGAAGCGTCGATTTTTTCAACTTCTTGCTAAACGGCACGTACGCCCGGCAATTCTGCGAAGAACCTTATCTCTACTTCGCGCTATACCTCGTTAACGGCAAATAAAATTTAAAAAGAAATTTACATCGAAAAAAATTCTAGGAATAAAATAAAAACAGAACACTTCTAAGAAATTGAACCAAAACTATAACATGAAATTTACGCAATCCTGTGTCTCAAATTATTAATAACCCCCCCGGTTAATTAATTGAACTAAACAAAATTGTCACATCCAGACGCTCTATAATTTCTTTCAAGTTACAACTAAAACAAAATAACACAACAATATAATATGTAGTCAGAGCTGGGCAGAATACTTTCAAAAAGTATTTGAATACTAAATAGTAAATACTTTACACAAATCAAAGGTATTTGAATACTAAATACTTTTAAGTCCAGCACAAGCGAATACTAGATACAGATACATTGAAAAGGATTCAAATACTTTAAAAAATAAGTATTCAAATACTTTAGAATGCATTCGAATACTTTCAAAAGTATTCTAATACTAAAATATTTAAAGTATTTCATTAACTTACTTTGAAAAGTATTCGAATACAGTAAAAAGAATTCAAATACGTATCACTCAAATACATTAAAAATTTAAAATAGTATACTAGATAAAAGGCTTAATACTACTTAAAAAATTAAGTTATACTTTGTATGGGGTTACCTTTTTTTATATTTCTATTGTTGTATACAAATTTAAAGGGAGTAAAAGCGTATTATTAATATTATATTATTATATAGGAGGTACCTACCACGACCTTTCTTATACCAGTGATATCCTTAAGAATACGTGTACCAGTTTTCAAAGCGATCGTACGTCGTGCACATGATACGTACGCCTTTCTGAAATTAATTCTAGCGATTTTGGGACAGATCCATTTTTGACCATCCGTTTGTCCGTGTGCATGATAGTTTGTTTAGAAACGTACGATCGCTTTGAAAATTGGTACACATGGTCTTAAGGATATAAGAAAGGTCCCTATTGTTTTTAAGTTACGTAGACTATCGAGTCAAAAAGTTTCACTCCAGGATCGTTCGGTATTCAGTTGAATCGGATTTTTCTAAACTATTCTCAAATATTTGAATAACTTAAAAGTACTGCCTTTTTTTGAGGCCGGAAAACAAAATTGTCTGAGATCGACCGGGAAAACACATTTTCTTATAGAATCCATAATTTCAAACAGTTTAAAGATTGGGCTACTAGTTCAAAAGTTACAGCCCTTTGAATTTTCTTTCGAAATTGGTTTCTAGTCTATAACTTTTGATTGAGAAGTCTGATCGAAAAAGTACGAATTGTTTTGGATTCTACGCACCAAAATTAATAAGAAAAAGTGTTTTCCCGAGAAATTTTGGTGTATTCGATTTTTGATAAAAATGGAAGGTGAAGCCGGAAAAAAAATTGTCTGAGATCGACCGGGAAAAAACATTTTCTTATAGAATGTGGCTCGTAGAATCAATAATTTCAAACAGTTCCAAGATTGGGCTACTAGATCAAAAGTTACAGCCCTTTGAATTTTTTTTCGAAATTTGTTTTTTGTCCATAACTTTATTATGAGAGGTCTAATCGAAAAAGTACGAATTGTTTTGGATTCTACGCACCAAAATTAATTAGGAAAAGTTTTTCCCGAGAAATTTTGGTGTAGTCGATTTTTGGTAAAAAAAGGAAGGTTGTACACTGCCTTTTTTTGAGGCCCGAAAAAAAAATTGTCTCAGATCGACCCGGCAAAAAATTTCTCTTATAGAATGTGGCCTGTAGAATCCATAATTTCAAACAGTTCCAAGATTGGGCTACTAGTTCAAAAGTTACAGCCCTTTGAATTTTCTTTCGAAATTGGTTTCTAGTCTATAACTTTTGATTAAGAAGTCTGATCGAAAAAGTACGAATTGTTTTGGATTCTACGCACCAAAATTAATAAAAAAAAGTGTTTTCCCGAAAAATTTTGGTGTAGTCGATTTTTGGTAAAAATGGAAGGTTATACACCGCCTTTTTTTTGAGGCCGGAAAAAAAAATTGTCTGAGATCGACCGGGAAAAAACATTTTCTTATAGAATGTGGCCCGTAGAATCAATAATTTCAAACAATTTCAAGATTGGGCTACTAGATCAAAAGTTACAGCCCTTTGAATTTTTTTTTGAAATTTGTTTTTTGTCCATAACTTTATTATGAGAGGTCTACTCGAAAAAGTACGAATTGTTTTGGATTCTACGCACCAAAATTAATTAGGAAAAGTGTTTTGCCGAGAAATTTTGGTGTAGTCGATTTTTGGTAAAAAAGGAAAGTTATACACTGCCTTTTTTTGAGACCCGAAAAAATAATTGTCTCCGATCGACCCGGAAAATAAATTTTCTTATAGCATGTGGCCTGTAGAATCCATAATTTCAAACAGTCCCAAGATTGGGCTACTACATAGTTCAAAAGTTACAGCCCTTTGAATTTTCTTTCGAAATTGGTTTCTAGTCTATAACTTTTGATTGAGAAGTCTGATCGAAAAAGTACGAATTGTTTTGGATTCTATGCACCAAAATTAATAATAAAAAGTGTTTTCCCGAGAAATTTTGTGTAGTCCCATATCATGATGATATGGGAATGGTTTTGTGATCTTTGGATTTACTCGTTTGAATAATAGGTATACATAGATAAGTAAACGCATAATTATTATGTAATTATTATCTTAACGCATTGATCACATAAACTTTTACACATACCTGCTAGGCAATTATGCTAGACGTCTCCAATCAACATTTTTAAAAAGTTTAAAAAGTTATGTGAAGAATTTGAAATTGTTAAAATTCCTATATTAAATAGTCAAAAATCGCCGCTTTTTCGTTGCCCTCTTATATATTTGGCCGTGGGGATTGCAAAATTAAAAAATTGCACCGTTTTGGCCGGTCGGATCATTTTTCGAATTGTGCATATCTTAACAAAAATAATAATAATAATAATTTCGCTAATATTCAAGGTACTCAAACGGTTGGCACCGCGATCGAAAGAAGAAGGATGGGCCAATCGTATACCACTTTGAGCGGCATACGAAATTCAAAAGCGTCAACGCACTACGCCACCAAAGTGAAAAGTTTCGAAATGGGCATAAGAAATTCTATAGACTTTTTGTTACCAAGATTACTTTAAAGACCACCTTTGTTACATATGCTTACCATCCCGACAGTACAGTCACAAATGCCTTAAATAGGAATCGATATGAAAAAGTCGATAAAAATTTTCATGAAAACTTTAGTAATTTTGTTTCGTTACTAAAATCGACGTTAAAGTACGGGATAAACTGAATGCAAAAGTTTGGCGGAGATGTGAGGTCCTTAAGTGACCTTCTTGGGCTCTCAATCAATGGCTCTTTAACTCAAGAACTAGAAGAGACAGCGATCTCAAACCTTCGCGAATTGATTTCTACGAGTTCAAGGATTAGTGCTAATGAACATGAGCTTAAAAGTCGTGTTTTTTTTCAATTTTCTTCGTAGATTTTAAAATTTGAATTTTGATTGGTTAACTCTGGTGGGTGTAGCGTCTAAGATTATAAATAATGGATAACGATAATCAGACTCCACAGAAAAATTATTACCAAAAAATTTAATGGTTATCATTTTAACAACTTTTTTTGTTACAGGGATACTCTTGCGTCGATTTACTGAACGTGGGCATGAGACAGTCTGGAGTATACTACCTTCAAATCAGGGGGACCACCTACTGGTTTTTGAAGGTCTTTTGCGAACAAGACGTTGCCGACGGCGGTTGGACGGTAATTGCTTGATACTTTTACAAGTGGAGTAACTTTGAGACTCTATTTTTTAGCTTATACAAAGAAGAGACGACTTCGGCGAGCCCAGGGAAAATTTCAATCGTGACTGGAACGACTATAAGAACGGTTTCGGCGATCCCGCCAAAGAGTTCTGGCTCGGAAACGAAAACATATACATGCTCACTAACAACGAGGAGTACATTCTACGGGTCGAATTGGAAGATTTTGAAGGCAACAAAAGGTAGGTGGATAATTCAGGTTTATCGTTCGCTATTTCAGTGTTTTTGTTATAGGTACGCCCAATATTCCCATTTCAAAATTCACTCTGAAGCGGAATACTACAAATTGGAATTGGATGGATATGAAGGAAATGCTGGCGATTCCCTTAACGATCCTTGGTACGGCAGCAATCACAGTCCGTTTTCGACGTACAATCGAGATAATGACAGGTCAAGTTTGAACTGTGCTTCAATGTTAAAGGGCGGTTGGTGGTGGAAGTCGTGTGGACGAGGGCTTAATGGGTTGTACTTGCACGACCCGCAAGACCTAACGGCCAGACAAGGTAAGTCATTAAGCCACATCTATTGACATTGAAACTAACTGTCGACAGGTATTGTCTGGTTCCGTTGGAGAGGATGGGATTACACGCTCAAGAAGTCGATAATGATGATAAAGCCTAAAGGACTCGTGACGACGCCGTAAACCAATTTCGAAAATGGCCAAGCCAATTTATAATCATGAGTGATTCATCGTGCACATTTGTATAAAATTCATTCTCCTTCACTATTCTGATCACCCCTCATACAAATTGCGTTACCTCAGCAAAATGTTTTTAACTTTTATAAAGTATTAAAATATAGTTTAAGAATTTTAGTGTAAGCCTCGATAGGGACGTGTAACAATAAGCCAATATGAAAATCGACACTAACCTAATGTCATTTTTTGAAACGCACAACTCATTCGTTTGAAATTTCTAGTTCTCGCTTTTGATTATAAATTAAGCTTTTTTTAAAAAGAAGTGACTGCAGTGTAAGTAAAGGTGTAAGACTGTGTTCCCTTATTTGTTTCCATCGATAAGGTGAACTCCAATAATATTTTGAGGCTATGGGACAGAATATGCAATCAAAATACTTGTTCTTTTTAAGAACTGACTACGCAACAACAAAAAATATTTTTTCGTATTAGGTATGTTTGTATATATCGTTGTTGTAATTGTAAATATTTAATTGTAACAGTTTACGAATAAATTAGTTAAGTAAACATCCTTTTTATGAAATAACTAATGGACTCCTACGAATTTTGGAACAAAACCTCGGTTTTGGCGGCTGCGCCGCCTCCCTTCGCTCCATTGTTAATTCAATAGTTCATCTTCCTTCCGGAGTGAACGAACACCAGCTTGAAAAATTGTTAAAGCACTTTTTTTATTCAAGCACCCCGAGATTTTGAGATATCCTCCCAGAGACTGATGGTTTCATGTTATCATTACAAGACCATCAGGCACACGCAATTAAATAATTCTGTAGAAATAGGCCGGTTGAACAGAATCAAATTCGATTCACCGACCTGTTTCTGATCAACGGGACTGTTTCCGTCGACAAACAGAACCGAATCGGATGAGAAGGGATAGGAACGGTTATTATCGCCTCGCAGAGGAGATAGTATGCGGTTTTGGTAGTATAATGCAACCACACTCCTTTTGGCTTTGTAAACAACGACAATGTCTTAGAATAGTATCGGTTCGATTTCTAGAACACACACGACAACGAGAGCAGGAACAATTACGGCTTATATGTATAAACCAACCTTTAATCGCTGTGAATATTTCTCACTACAGCTAATGAACTACTTCATTTAACTTTTGGGAATTGAATATATGAAATATGTTTTTAGAAATGGGAACTTTGCGCATAACGATAAATAGTTCAAATCTCCGACTATGACGTGCCATAACCTCAAATTCAACAATGTCGAGTGGCGATACGAAAAATATTGCTCTAATAACCGGAATTACTGGACAGGTATTAAATCGTCGCACATATCTGAATAATTCAACAGTACACTGTTAGGATGGATCATACTTGGCCGAATTTTTATTGGCTAAAGATTACGAGGTTCACGGAGTCATTCGAAGGGCCAGCACTTTCAATACAGGACGCATTGAGCATTTATACGCAGATCGATATAGGCACAAGGGCGGAAGGATGCATCTACATTACGGCGACATGACAGATTCGAGTAGCCTTGTAAAAATCATCTCTACAATTAGGCCGACTGAAATTTATAATTTGGCCGCGCAAAGTCACGTCAAGGTATCGTTCGAGCTAAGCGAATACACTGCCGAAGTGGACGCTCTCGGCACACTCAGATTGCTCGACGCAATACGTACCTGCGGGTTAGAGAAGCAGGTTAAGCTGTATCAAGCGTCCACTTCGGAGCTGTATGGGAAAGTTCAGGAAATACCCCAAAATGAAACCACCCCCTTTTATCCTCGGTCGCCTTATGGTAGGTCATTTCGAAAAGGTTGGCAGTGAAAACGTCGCAATTTTAGCCTGTGCCAAACTATACGCCTACTGGACGGTGATCAATTATCGGGAGGCCTACAATATGTTTGCATGTAATGGGATATTGTTTAATCACGAGAGTCCAAGACGTGGCGAAACGTTCGTGACTAGGAAGATCAGTAGGGAGGTGGCTAAGATTCATCTGGGCCTTTCTGATTGTTTTGAATTGGGTAATCTTGATTCAAAACGTGATTGGGGCCATGCTGAAGATTATGTGCAAGTAGGTAAATTTTGAATGACTGGTTTTTCTAATTTTTCCTGTCCTTCCCAGTACACCCTTGCACTTCCTTGTCCTCAACTCCAAGCTCATATCCGCTCCATACTCTTCTGCTCACTGGTGTGTTTCTTCCCCCATCCCTTCTTTTTCTCTTCTGTTCGGGAATCGACGCCCTGTTCTCTCATTTTCAAGCTCTTTTTTTTACATATGAGTATAATACCTCACTAATTTAATTTTTTTCATTGAGAATTTTGACATGGATTAATTTAGAAAAATAAAGTATTATGATTGTAGGCAATGTGGTTAATGTTGCAACAAGATAAACCAGATGACTTTGTGATAGCATCCGGTGAGTCGCATAGCGTACGCGAATTTGTGGAGGAAGCATTTGGGTGTGTTAATAAAACAATCGAATGGGTTGGTAGTGGGGTGAACGAGGTGGGGGTTGAATCGGATACCAAAGTTGTTAGAGTTAAGGTGAATCCTAAGTATTTTCGACCGACTGAAGTGGTACGTTTGCTGTTTGTTCCCGAAATCCTTTTCTACTCCCTTACATTTTAGGATCTTCTATTAGGCGACCCAACCAAAGCGAGGAACAAGTTGGGCTGGGTACCAAAGGTGACATTTAAGGATCTAGTGAAAAGCATGATGGAGTCCGACATACAACTTATGCAAAAGAATCCTTCCGCTTAGCTAGTTTAATTCTAATGACTGCTGCACACATGACGATTTTTATACTTAGTCTTAGGGGATTTTTAGGCTTGCAGCAATTGAGCATATTCCCCATTAACTAAGAGCTAAAACAGGAACACACAAGCCTTTTAAAGGGAATGGTGTGTCCATTTCTTTTGTAAGACATGTGACTACTTTCTCATTTTTCCTTAGCACAATTTTTTTTTCTGTGATTATCACGAAAATAGTGACATTCCTTAAGGTTATTGATAAGTGTATTTAAAAGTAGACAACACATTCTTCAAATAGTGGCAGGTAAGTAGGTCTGCCACTTCTTCCAGATGTTTTTAAATTAGTGCAATGGCAAACTGCACCTTTAGGTCAAAAAGGGATAGCAAGAAATTTTTTATAATGCACGTGTGTGGTAACTGATGGTATTGCACTGCTTGTGTTCAATGTATAACCATCTATGTATTCAATTAAATATTTTTAAAAATCTTTGTTTTTTATTTCATGTAACTGAACCATAGAGTGGCATAGAGGCGGCACAGTGGGATAGACCTTTTAAAGTGTAACAATTCGTATAAAATCAATCATGTTTTCCAGAGGCACCTTCGGCTTTCACGAAATGCTAACCTTCGCTCATTGGCCATTTGCTTAACAAGAAATTATCTTTTGAAAAGGAATTTGAGATGTCCGATTTCAAATTTTATGCTACAGACACCGTTGGCGTATATAGAGACACCGTTGGAGATCCATTTAAAATCCAATGCCACAGAATAAACAGTGTGCTACGGTATACAGAAATTTGACTCGAAGGTTTTCAAAGGCGAAAGAAAGCCCCCAAATCCAAAACATCCCCCGGAAATTACAAAAAAAATTATCAACAGGTGGTGATGGCGGTGGCTCATGTCCCCAGAATCTCAAACTACTTGACTGGTAGCATCCCACGTGGAAATATACAGGGTATTTAAAGGGATATAGACATCTGTGTATTCAATTAAATGTTTAAATGAATGTACGTTTATTTTTTATGTGATATGTAACTGCATCATAGCGGTAGCACAAATAATATGGGATAAATGTTGACATTTAAAGTGTAAGAATTCGGGTATGAATTAAACATAGCCTTGGTTCCACAAGCACGAGATGCTCCCCTTCGTCGGGAAAAGAATTTAATACAATGCAAAATGTTGTGTACAAGCACAAATAGAATATACGCACACAACAAGGCGATACCAGGAAAACCTTTTATGGACAAAAAACCCACTTAAATAAATATATAATAAATCAACTACGAGAACATCTCAAATCGTACAATAAAAATGAACAAGAACGAAACACAAGAAACACCATGAATACAAGAAAAAAACGCAATAAATCAACTCAAATATGTAGAAAAAGACACCCCAAAAGCATAGCTCTACTCCAACATCGACCTTAATACATTTACCACCAAAAGTAGACATGAGAATGCCAGTAGTAAGCATTCATGTATATAGAAGAAATGTTAATTAGAGGATCCGGTTCTCGTATTGCTTACGCACCGGCCACGAGAGTGAGAAAACAACATAATACAGCGAATAATCAAACTGTATAAGGTACTTCCACCAAGAAATATATACAACTCATACAGAGAAATATCAAATTAGCGGACCCCATTGAATTTAGCATAAAGGCAGGTTGACTAAAAATGGTATATCGAATGAAGCTGCTGAATGTAAGAAGAAAGGATCAACGTTACAATCTTAAGCATAATCTTATTATTACAGAAATTGTCTTCAAGTAGTTACTGTAGAGCGATGTGAACAATTAAAACTATGTCCATACTTATTGTAAAAAAGTAAATGTGAATCTCATTATTAATAATAAATAAAACTCAAAACAAACAGAATACCACATGAACAGAAATTGAACAAAAGTTTTTCTAAGGTAGTGCAGTTGTTAAATTTGTTCCTTTCTATGTGACAAGCTGAGGAGCACCTGTGATTTGAAGATAACGCCTAATGTATCCCAGAAGGTGCTGCTCAAAGTCAAATATATTATTTGTCTCATAATCACAATTAGCACATTTAAAATCATTTGAAACTTTATGTGTTAAAAGATGTTTTGTAAAGTTGCTTTTATTATTTGTCCCATAATCACAACGAGCACATTTAAAATAATTAGAAACTTTATGTTTTAAAAGGTGTTGGGTAAAGTAATACGTACTTATTATTTGTTCCATAATGACAATCAGCACATTTAAAATCCTTCAAAACTTTATGTGTTAGAAGATGTTGTTTGAGATTTCGTTTATAACTTGTCTCATAATCACAATCAGCACATTTAAAATCTTTTGACACCTTATGTTTTAAAAGATGTTGCTTAAAGGTAAATTTGTTGTTTGTCCCATAATCACAATCAGCACATTTAAAATCGTTAGAAACTTTATGATTTAAGAGATGTTGTTTAAGGTTGCGTTTATGTTTTGTCCCATAATCACAATGAGGACATTCAAAATTGGTAAAATCTTTATGTTTTAAAAGATGTTGTTTGAGGTTGCATTTATCATTTGTCCCATAATCACAATCAGCACATTTCAAATCCTTTGAAACTTTATGTGTTAGAAAATGTCGTTGGAGGTTTCGTTTATAACTTGTCTCATAATCACAATCAGCGCATTTAAAATCCTTTGAAACCTTATGTTTTAAAAGATGTTGGTTAAAGGTATATTTGTTGTTTGTCCCATAATCACATGCAGCACAATTAAATTCCTTAGAAACTGTATGTTTTAAAATATGTCGTTTGAATGTACTTTTAACATTTGTCCCATAATCACAATTAGCACATATAAAACCCTTCATAACTTTATGTGTTACAAGATGTCGTTTGAGATTACGTTCATTATTTGTCCTATAATTACAACCAGCACATTTAAAATCGGTAAAAACTTTATGATTCAAGAGATGTTGGTTCATGTTGCGTTTATGCTTTGTCCTATAAGTACAATGAGGACATTTAAAACCGGTGAAAACTTTATATTTTAAAAGATGCTGTTTGAGGTTGCGTTTATCATTTGTAGCATAATCACAATCAGCACATTTAAAATCCTTAACAACCTTATGTTTTAAAAGAGGTTGTTTAAGGTTGCGTTTATCACTCGTCCCATAATCACAATCACCACATTTAAAATCCTTTGAAACCTTATGTTTTAAAAGATGTCGTTTGAAGGTACTTTTAATATTTGTCTCATAATCACAATGAGCACATTTAAAATCCTTCAAAACTTTGTGTTAAAAAATGTCGTTTGAGATTACGTCTATTATTTGTCCCATAATCACAATCAGCACATTTAAAATCGTTCGAGACTGTATGTTTCAAAAGATGTCGTTTGAGGTTATGTTTGTCACCTGTCCCAAAATCACAATCGACACATTTAAAATCTTCAGACTCTGTTTTACACAGTGCAAAGTGATGTTGAAAATCAGAGTATTGGTGTGCTTCTACATTATAAAGAGATTTAGAATACGGTGCAGTAATGGTAATTTCATCTTTTATTGTAACCAAAGCTTCGTTGCTCACCAAAATATTTCCCTGAAGAGAGGAGTGGATTTCTTCTTCCCCAGCTTCTTCCTGTTTTGGTTCGATTTTAATGAATGGTATACCATCATCTCTACCGACTCCGTCCATATCTAAGAACAATTATCTATAAATCTATTTTGATACAACATTTGTACCTACTGTTTAAAGCAAATGTAGAGAAAAGGCGCCCTAAAAATTTGTCACAAATGCAAATCCCCCCCCCCCAAATTCCATTCATTACACGTGAAGATAGCTAGTATTCAATGCAACGTTGTCAAATCTACCGTTTGGGTTTTAATTATAAATGGCATCCTTAGTTATTATAAAACTTTAATGGCCGAATTTATAAACAATGGCAGCATTGTTGACACCTGCAAGTAAAAAAAGGGCTAAACTCTATTGGCTGTACCTAATTCAAATACCGCTGCCATACTGATGTAACTTACCATTGTTGAAATAGAAGATTTATTTGACAAGAAACATTATTTATACGTACATACAGGGTTATGCACATCATATAGAAATGGACTGCGCGTGCCAAGCTAAACGCTGTGAACCAGAGGGTAAAGCTAAGAGGTATGCTCTCTATCTATCAAGCTTCTGTTGGTCGCATATAATCGACATTCTTTTAGCAGTGCGACCAACAAAAGCGCGATAGAGAGATAGAGTCTAACATCTTGCTCGCCGCGCCTAGCATCGAGGTTGAGGTTAAGACTAAAAACAGCTCAATTTGCTTTAGCAAACAATAAAATTTTTCGAAAAATCTAGAAGGCCTATCTCATTTTATAGAAAGAATTAAGTCACATCCGCTTTCATTTTATCGTCGGTGACTTGACGACGCCTTGATATCGTTCTGCGCTACAATAGTATTGAAATGATCCAATCAAATTCCTTAATTTTCTTAAACTGGATAGTACGTTAACTAAACTGAAGTTCATCAATTTGGTACAAACTAAACTGAGGACCGAATTGGTCAGTTAAATGACAAAATACTGATTTTCGATTGGGTAAAGTTTAAAAATGATCTAAACTCCTAATAGCATAGCGTAATGCGCTACTATTTTTGTGAATTTATCTCTAGTACTACCATCTCTCGACGTTAGACAATCAATTTTAAAACTAAAACGATGATTGCACATATGTATTTATGCTATTTATCAACACAAAAACTACCACTACACCCAGATTATAATTGATATATAGTACAATATAAAACTAATCTACCAGAATGAAAGCATAATAACTGAATATAAAAAATTAAGCGCCACATTGAATAATTATTCCAATATTTCTTCGTCTTGAATTTCGATTACTTCGACTACACCTTTCTGCCACTTCTCAATGAACAAAAAGTCGCCGAAGACCTGAAAACCTTAACATTAATATCAAAAATTATAATTTTAAGATCTTACCATCATTGTAGCCATCACACATCCAATCATTGAGCTTACTGCAGCCACCGCCGTCTTCTCAATTGGAATAAACGTACAAAACACTGCAAGTCGGAATAAAACCGTAAGCACCAGCAAGTTGAAGAGGCACACCAGATTCCGCAACATCGGTGTTATGGTGATGATGTGCAGGTACGTAATGTATAAAATCACGTAAGCGTTGATAATCACACCCGGGTAAGTTGTCGAGTCTTCTCCAACGTTCCAAATTTCGTACACTCCCTTAAAGGAATCTGTTATTGCCAATACTGCTATCAGCAGGATTCCAAAAAAGAATAACCCTACACAATTTACCCTATAACGACAATTATAAATGTAAGCTAAGTACTTACAGCTTCTAGGATTAGCGAAAACCTTCATGAAGATTTCGCATCGCGTGGGGGTGGACACGGCATAAGACATTTTTGGAGGTATTTTGAAACTAAATGTTTAAAAAACCACCGCACGAAGTTCGAAAATTATGAGGGGGGTTTTTGTTCTGAGAGCATTTATAGCAGTTGATAGTGAAAAGTAGGGGGGAGACCTACGTAATCCGCTATAACCAATCACAATTGTCCTAGTAACCAAGCGCACGAGCGTTATGGGCGCGCCCTTTTTTCTTTGTTCTGAAATTTCCCAAATTTTTAAACTGGGATGCTATATTTTGAAGAGTTTTTATATTACCATTAGGTATAATTTTCAATTCTCTCATACTGTCATTAAGGTTTATTATTTATAATAAATTTATAATAAAGGGCAGAAAACTGCTTGAATTTTAGTTAAATTCGTTAAAAAAATCATTCGGTTTGGGCCTAAGTCTTTGTCCGATGCTTAAAAAGGCACGTAGATTATTTTTGTAATCATTTATTTGGAATACTTGTGCGATAAGTACCACCTTTACTTCTTAGTCATTTATCAATAAACGCTTGCAATTAACGGTGAATGCTTACTTGCAATAAATAGTCGTTGTTACTTGTTTATGTAAAGAATTCTTTGATAAAGGTTGAACTGCAACAATTTTCATTTATATAATTGTAATAGGGGTTTATTTCCTAACTTGTACCTAAATTTTGTCTGTAGGTACGGTCCAAATGAGGAGACATTCTATATTTTGATTGAGTGTCTGCGCTGGCTACCTACTTTATAAACAACAAGTCGAAAATAGTTTTATTATACAGGATGTCCAACGATAAGGATTACTAGGATTTCAGCTAAAATATTTTCATTTTTACGATACCTAGTTTTGGTTAAGTAACCCAGAAGTATCGCACTCCCTTATTTTAAATGTAGGTTCTAGTTCCGAAACAATTATTTAAAAAAGAATTGTTACATTCTACTCCAACCCCGAAAGGATCAAAACTTTCCCACCCAAAGCAACTGATTCCCGTCTATTTAGATAGTTAGGGAAGTAGAAAAAGGGCACCTTCCCCCACCATTTCTTTGTGGTTAAGGTCGTGCCCGTGGCAAGGGGAATTCGCCCTGCTTATGGTTACTAACTAAGGAGTGACTTTGTTTTGTGAGGCAAGGTCGTGCGTTGGTGAAAGGGATTCCTCGGTGACATAAGTAATGAGCGACCTTGTTTGGATGATGATTCTTGTACTATTTCCTCGAAACTTGATGCTTAGTATCACTAATAAACTGGACCCCGTTATCTGCTATCATCTTCCGGAGACCGGAATGTTCCATACCTCAGGATCACTTCGTGAATTAGTGTCTTGGCGTTGGCATACGCTCCAGCCGTGGCTCTACCTAGAGCGAACACCTCAACGTATTTTGCGTCTGTATCCACTACAATGAAGACCCAATCTACCGAAATTACCTGAATTCATTCAATAGCACAATTGCCGGCATCCATGCGTTAGTATAAGCGGAGGAGCACTCTCCAAAAATTTTTTTATAATCTTTCTATACCAGGAGCATGTTTGGACTGTGAACTTGTTTTTTATCACTCGGACACGACAAGTTCTGAATGGCAGATACCTTTTCAGGATCCACCACGGGGTGTGATTACATGGTCTTAGTAATGTTAGTTACTGTATGGACTCCTGACCGAACGCGCACTTTTCTCTCCGCGCCCAAAGTGTTGTTCAAATGTTTCGGAAAACACAAGAACATAGTACACGAATACTCCGTGAAGGCCCAAACCTGCACGGAACCGGTCCATGAAACGCACAAACGTCGAGGGGGCATTCCGCGGTCCGAAAGGCATCATCGAAAATCGAAGAGTTCCGGAAGGTGTAGTGAAACACGTTTTATTTCGGTCCTCGCTGGCAACCGACACTTAGAAAATTGTAATTGTTCGTGCAAACGGGGTTTGGGATACATGTCGGCGATCGTGGCACTCGACAAACAGACGAAAAGTTCCACCCTTGTTTGGGACCAACACGACGAGGCTGGCAGACGGGGGCCCACACTCTTCTATAACACCTAGGGACAATAGATCGACTAATTGCTACGATAGACAGTAAGCTGAGCCACCATTGTTTAATTGACGATTCGCTTTAAATAAAGTCACTAGATATAGAAAGTACCGCAATCATCCGCCATTTTTGGGCAAATTTGCTGCCACCTTAAAAAAATTGACAAATAAAATCTAAATAGCTGTCATTTTTTATAACCTAACTTCATAGTACTGTCATGTTTTTTAAAAATATATACAGATATCTCCAAACAGGTGGAACAATCCCTAACATTAAAGTATCTGGTAAGTTCCGCCATTTTTGGGCAAAAATCATGCGTTCTCTCTCTAACACACGAGCCCAATGGATTGCGGTACTTTCTATATTTAGTGACTTTAGCTTTAAATTTTTGGCAGCGACATCTAATGCATACATTCATAAGCGCCATTTTTCAGTTTTGACAGGTAGATGTTTATACTTCTGCTCAATAGAGGGCGCTTTTAAGTATAGCTAAATCTCTATAGAATACCTAAATACAGTGACTCAAATTAGAACAGTGGTGACAACAGGGTATCTTGTTTTTGATTGATCCGGGACTAAATTGCTATACTTTGGTATAGGAGTTTACACTTTTTCGTTGTTCTTGCGAAAGTCTGTGAATAAACGGTATTTATTATTATACGATCACAATTTCACATGACAAGGTATATGGATCCTACAATTAAACATTTTTATTTCATACTGTCCGGTAGATGTTCGATTACACTATCAATTTGAGTCCGGTAGGTGAGTTATTACAGCATCAGAGCCGGTAAGTGTCGCTAAGCAACCCGCCGCCATGTTGCATAGAAAACTTAAATTAGGAGTAGGCAACACACAATACACGTATGACGTGTTGCGTACACTACAACACAATATTATATATACCTACTCGATGCAACATGGCCGCCGATCCTAACAACCAATCAAAAATTGTGTCTACTATCTCTATAAAGTCACTGTATACGTAAATGTGTTACCGATTAAATGTATATAATGTACGCGGATGGTTAGATTTCTTTACATTAAATAACTTTTATGCGTTCTATTATATTGTAACGGTTGTGCCCTCGTCGAGCACATAGTTGGATATTTATGTGAGTGGCGGCCATTTTTCAAATCTAACCAATCGAATTTATGAATCCTGCTAGTCCAGCCGACATGACGTTCAAACTGTTTGGTAAAGCTCGACTGGTTGAAATAAACTAAACGCCGAATTGTACCATAAATTGAGTGAAATTCAGTCCAGTTTAACGCAAACATGTTGATTTTCGATTGGTTAAAATGAGGCATGCGCAATTTGTAATACCTACTTGTTTTCATTTGTCCCAAAACAACGAGTAGCTTTTAAGTTTACTGTACTGCCCTTTTTTGCAAATTTGCCTCTATATACCATCTCCAAACGAATTAATTTAACACTAAAACGCGATCGCTTACATGTACATGTATATATTTATTTCCACACAAACTATACTATCTACTAGATCTACACCCAAGTTGAACAATTGATATATATAGTGAAATGAAGCTAATCTACCAAAACCATTAAAAAATTAAACTCCATGCTGAATAATTAAGCCAATATTTCTTCATCTTCGGCGTCTTCCATTACTTCTACTGTACCTTTCTTGCGCCTTTCAATAAGCAAAAAGTCGACAAGGACCTGGAACAACGCGACGTTAGTATATGAAAGACTTTAAGATCTGTAGGCGAACGTACTATCATTGTAGCTATCAGACATCCAATCATTGCGCTTATTCCAGTCGCCGAAATCTTCACAACAGGAACAAACGTGCAAAACACTGCGAGTCGGAACAAGAGTGTGAATACAGGCCAACTGAGAAGGAACGCCAGATTCCGCAAGGCTGATGGTACGGTGATGATGTGTAGGTACGTAATGTACAAAATGACGTAAACGTTACACATCACTGCCTGGTATATTGTCGAATCTTCTTTAACGCCGCAAATGTCGTACATTCCTTTAAAGAAATCTGTGCCGGCCAATACTGCCACCATCACCAGACCAAACAAGATTAAGCCTACAACATTCACCCTATAACGACAATTTTAAATTTAAAAATCATACTTACAGCTCCTGCGGCTCGCGAAAGTACTCATAATTATCACAAAGGTTTCTATTCTCGTAGGAGTGGGCACAGACATTTTTAAAGACATTTTGAAATTAAAGCAAAGGCACGAAGTTCAAAAATTATATGAGGGGGGTTTTCGTTCTGAGAGCTTTTATACAAGGACGATACTGAAAGGCAGGGGAGAGTCCTACGTCAGCAGCTATAACCAATCACAACTGTCATTGTGACCACGCGCAAACGAGTATAGGAACGATATGGGCGCGCCTTTTTCTGTTTGTTACGAAATTTATGTAATTTTTAAACTTGGATGCCTTATTTTTTAGATAGATACCAAATAGATAGGTAATAGAATTAATGAAAATTTTTAATGGTAGGTACCTAACCATAATTCTCAAACAAAATTGATTAATTTATGATAAAAGGGTAGCTAACTGTTTGAATTTCAGTTCAATTAGGTAAAATTCAAAATTGCGCCTAAATTTTAGTCACACAGGTAATTTCCATTCGTTTATTTGGAATTCTTAAGTGCGATAAAGTACTGCCTTTCCTTCTTAGTCATGTATCGATAAATACTTGCAATTCACGGTGAACGCTTTCTTGCAATAAACAGTTGTTGTTTATAAAGGAATTCTTTGATAACTGCAACCTTTGAATATAGACTGTATATTTTATAATCAAAGACTGCAATTAGGTACTTCAATATATGCTTTCATTCAGTATAAACAGCAAGCTAAAGTCGAAGTTTTATTATACACAGGATGTCCAGTCCAGCGGCAAGGGTCCCTATTCAATGAAACGTTTCACCTAAAATAAAAATACAACTTAAAGGCTGATTCTCACTATACATAACGTTTCCATACCATATCCTTTCCATAACCATTCCGTAAATTATTATACCTACGAAATTGACCTTTAAGTGATATGTGCGTAAGACATTTAGCCGCGCGCTAATACACATTCTCCTTTCCGTTCACATATGGAATGGAAGGCGAATGTGTATTAGCGCGCGACTGAATGTCTTACGCACATATCACTTAAAGGTCAATTTCGTAGCCTATAATAATTTACGGAATGGTTATGGAATGGATATGGTATGGAAACGTTATGTATAGTGAGAATCAGCCTTAATCCAAAATGACTGCGGACAGTCTGAATTTGAAAGCATTTATACTTATAGTTGGTAACGTGGTATATCAAAACATATATTTTTGTGCAAAATTTTGTGCCACCCACGTATAATGCGATAAATTTGTAATAATAGCAAATAGAGATGCTATCACTTATGACTCATGTTGATTTATCACCAGGTATATTTCTGTGGTAATTTCTGGGTGCCATGGGGATCTCGCTTGTAGCCGCCAAGGTAGCGGTCGTTTGGCGCATATAACAGCGTCCGCCAGTTTTCCTAGCGAAAACGCTTTCCGCTAGAATAGCCAGCAGTGGGTGGCCGTGGGAGTAAAGCCCTCATGTATCTTGACAACCTCATTTATTGTTACCTGTACCAAGTACAAGCATAAAGTATCTGATCAACTTTCAATTCAACACCTACACCTCCTGGCAGTCCTTCAGAAACGGTATAGGTAAAATGCATATATATATACTTAAGTGGTAAAATGCGTTCAGCCAATTTAATCGACGGAAATTGGGCGGTGAAACAGTTGATGTATAAGCGCCACGAACTTATAAATGAAGATCATTGAAATAAAAGACGGGAAGGAGCTTATGTATTATTAGCTAGGATCCTATTAGGTTTCTATATGGCGGCGTTCATACGCGCAGTGGCGTACACATATTTAATATATTTAATTTCTTGGCGGATAGTACGGCAATTACATACATTTTACCACAGACAGATTCACCACTTCTTATAAACGAAATCCATCTATCTTGCCATTCACTGTCTAAAAGAAATCTGAAAAGTAGATGTACCTATTTCAAAATGTTGTTTTACATACTATCACTACGGCAATGGATCTGTATCACAACAATCGTTTCGTTTCTACTGTAGCTTTGACTTTGTTATATTACACGATTTACAGTCCATTGTGTTTCATTTTACCGTTTAATGTCAATTAATTATCAAAGTCGGCAATATTGAGAAGCCTAATTGGATTCCAAGAAACGTACGTTATATGTATGTAGCCCTCCTTCCATAGTTTTTTATTTCAATGATTAAGATGGACTGCTGATCAAACAGTTGCATAGAATGCTTGTTTATTTTAGTTGATTTGAATTTCGCGCAAGCGACTGCCCCCATGTAGGTGTCATTTGTCAATTCACTAGCCCGCTTGACATGGAGCAATAAAAATTGCAATTGCATGCAAGTTGCAAGAAAAATTGCGAAAGGCATGCGCAGTTCAAAGCCAGCTGATCAATTACTGCAAGAGACTTGCATGCAATTTTTATAGGACCGGTGCTATTTTTCTTGCATGAATCGTGCAATTCTAGGGATAAATCTAGTTGTTTTTGTGGCACCAACCTAGTAAAATACAGCGGCGGCAACTGTGATGCTGAGAGACGCACTCATTACTTGTTTTTACTAATCTTATTTATTCTTGTAATTTTCATGTTTCTTCAAGCAATCAAAATTTAATTTTCATTTGAGGTTAACAACTTTGTTGACAAATCCATATGTTTCTTCTGTTGGCAGACATGTGGCAATTGAAATAGAATTGCACCATGTCAAATACCATGCAATGCTTATTGCATGCAAGGATTTGACCTTGCAATTTCTTTCTGCAAGTTCTTGCGCGTAGTATTGCTCCATGTCAAGCAATAGCAATCCATCTTTTTTATAAGTTCGTGGTAAGCGCTGAATACGATTGAACGCGCCCATATGATAATACAAAATACGTATATAATCAAAGAATGTGACACAGTCTCTCTTTCATAGTCTTAAGAGTATTGTTAGGTATGGATGTAGATGATTGTGCACCTCCCATTAAAATTGAACCAAAACAAGAAGAGGAAATCCATTCTTTCCTTCAACGACACAGTTCAGTAAACAATGAAGTTTTGGTGACAATAAAGAACGAAATTACCATTAGTACACCGTGTTCTGAAGGTATTTATAACGAAGAAGTACAGTGTAAAATAGTGCCTAACGGTTTTAAATGTGCTGATTGTGATTATGAGACAAATTATAAAGGCAACTTTAAACGACATCTTTTAACGCATAGGGTTTCTAAGGGTTTCAAATGTGGTAATTGTGATTATGTGACAAACTATAAATCTAAGTTTAACCTACACCTTTTAACACATAACATTTCTAAGGATTTTAAATGTGCTAATTGTGATTATGGTACCAATGTTAAAAGTAACTTCATACGACATCTTGCAAAACATAAAGTGTCTAAGGATTTTAAATGTGCTCATTGTAATTATGCTACAAATGTTAAAGGCAATTACAAACACCATCTTTTAACACATAAAGTTTTGAAAGATTTTAAATGTGGTGATTGTGATTATGAGACAAATATTAAAGCCCATTTTAAACAGCACCTTTTAACACATATCGTTGCTAAGGATTTTAAATGTGATGCTTGTGAATGGAAGACAAATGATAAACACTACTTCAAACGACATGTTTTAACACATAAAGTGTCTAAAGATTTGAAATGTGGTAATTGTGATTATAAGACAAACTATAAATCTAACTTTAACCAACACCTTTTAACACATAAAGGTTTTAAGATCTTTAAATGTACTAGTTGTGATTATGGGACAAATCGTAAATACCTCTTCAATCGACATCTGTTAAAACATAGAGTTTCTAAAGATATTAAATGTACTGATTGTCCTTATGGGACAAATGATAAACACGGATTTAAACGACATTTTTTAACAGATAAAGTTTTTAAAGCTGTTAAATGTTCTGATTGTGATTATGAAACAAATAAAAAACAGAACTTAAAACAACATCTTTTGAAACATAAAGTTTCTAAGGATTTGAAGTGTGGTAATTGTGATTACGAAACAAATTATAAATCTAACTTTAACCTACACCTTTTAACACATAAAGTTTCTAAGGATATGAAATGTGCTGATTGTGATTATGGCACAAATAATAAAAACAACTTCAAACGACACCTTTTAAAACATAAAGTTTCAAAGGATTTTAAATGCACTACTTGTGATTATGAAACAAATGATAAATACTACTTCAAACAACATCTTTTAAAACATAAAGCTTCTAAGTATTTAAATGTGCTAATTGTGAGTTTGGGACAAAATGTAAAATCTATCTGAAACAACACCTTTTAAAACATAACAGCTCGCATAACAGTTTAAGTTTTTAAATGTTCTAATTGTGAATATGTAAATAACACATTTGACCTGGACCATATTACTTAGGCGTTATCTACAAATCGCAGCTGCTCCGGAGCTTTTCTCATTGAAAGGAACAAATTTAATGACAGCACTACGTTACAAAAGCGGTTTTGAGCGCCTTTGTTTTTGACTAGGCTCATCAGGCCCGTACGCTGAAAGCATCCTGATTTGGTACGCTACTACAATTTGAATATTTATTTTTATTCCATATAGATAGGTACATTGAAATAATGTTCCATTATTAATATATTTCACAAAATGCATTATACGTATGTCTAGATTACAAAATAAAAATGAGAGTAAAATTGTATGCATATCTGTAATCCGTTTTATGAGTTTTAATCGGGCCTAGATTTTTATATTTTGTAAATGGAATCGCAGGATGGAACCCATATATGAGTTTTAGGTTCTGGTTCCGCACTACTTAGAATTATATTTTAAAAATTCTTGTACACCGGTTCTGATAGTATAATATAATTTTCGGTTACGTTTGCAGCTTTTTTTTCAGTTTTTATGGGTTCAAATTAAACAATAAGTGCTTCATTTACTTTACGAGTGCCAGACAAATGACACCGCAATAAAAGGTAAGGTACTTTGCTGTTTTTGTTTGGAGAATGCTACACGTGATGGAATTTATTTTATCGTTTGGGAACGCCATGTATATTGCGGATTAGGTAGTTCCAATATCTTAACGGTCATTGCATCTACAAATGACAGTTATTAGTTCACATTGAAAATTGTAGTTCCAGTGCAGAAGCAAATGTCAAAATTCTAGACCCACTCATATTGTAAATAATTTTTTAGAAAGTGATTGAAATGGCACAAATTGGCGAACCATTAACTTTGTCTCGAGGTAATAAACTTTGTTTTGTACCGATTTTGTCAGTATACTTTTCCAGACATAAAACGATCCATCGAGTTACTGGAAAAGCTGCAAAAAAATGGAGAGGTCCCCGCAACTAAGCTGGCAGCTCTGCAAAAGGTACTGCAAAGCGATTTTCTCAACGCCGTAAAGGAGGTGTACGAGCATGTGTACGAAACAGTCGACATACAGGGCTCTCAAGACGTTCGCGCTTCCGCAACGGCCAAGGCGACGGTCGCCGCATTTGCCGCCAGTGAAGGACACGCCCATCCTCGTGTCGTCGAGCTGCCTAAAACAGAAGAGGGCCTCGGTTTCAACGTGATGGGTGGCAAGGAGCAGAACTCGCCGATTTACATTTCACGAATTATACCCGGCGGAGTGGCCGATAGGCACGGTGGTTTAAAGAGAGGCGATCAGTTGTTAAGCGTCAACGGTGTTGTAAGTCATTCACCTGGTGTTTCAGCCTCATTTTTATGCCTCCTTTTTCAGTCTGTCGAGGGTGAAAATCACGAGAAAGCAGTTGAGCTGCTGAAACAAGCACATGGGTCTGTCAAATTGGTTGTGCGGTACACTCCCAAAGTGTTGGAGGAAATGGAATTACGTTTTGACAAACAGCGGGCACGGAGGAAGCAACAATTTACTTAAGCAGTATTGGTATAGTTTCTCTTTTTGTTAACTTATTTCGTGATCTTAAAGGTTTAGTCTGGTTTAAAGGGCGAGTGAAATCTCCTTTTTTCGGTGTCAGTTCGTATCACATCTATGGCATTAAGTTATGTGTACGTTATTTATTCTTTAAGTTTTAAGGTTGATGGATAATTTATTGAGTAGTCTATATGGATTGTGTGCACTATATTTTTGCACAATTTTCACTTACAGTCACCTATATCTTACGGAAATAAAAAATTTCTTCAATTTTATTTAATAGCTCGTTTTGTTGTTTCTATGGTACCTACTAACATATGTGTGTTTGCTAAAAAACAGTGAAAATTTGGATTTCGAAGTATATTTTGAATTTCTTCCATGTGTTTTGTTGTCTTGGGCTGTTGCTTTGTGTCAAGTTTTCAGTATTTTGGAAGCACAATCCTCCTAACTGTATGCAGGTAGGATGCTCTCAGCACAATTTGCACCCTGACCAGTATCTAAGAATTTAAGTTAAAAAAAATTCGTATTCTTATTCTTATTTTCCACATCCATCTCAACAACCCTTTTGAGGGAATTTTAAAATCTGTATTGGTGACTACCATCTCAGAAACAACTTTGGAGCAAGGTATGTATCTTATGTTTGATTTCATGTTGAAGGGTTTTTTCATACAACTTTCCTATTCACATTTTCTTGTCGAAGTCATCTCAAAAGATGCTTACATTTTCAAAAACTAAGCTTGATTTCGTTATGTTCAAACATACATTTTGGGACTTTTAAGCGATTAGTTCCCAAACGATCCAATTTGGACCATTGATTTATTTGAAAAAAAAAACTCTGGTTTTGGTTCTATCTACCTCCAATTATTTTGACCCACTGTAAATGTAATAAATTCTATTTTTACACCACGTCTGCAGGTTTTGGGACTGCAATCCAGGGTGCTCCATGACAAATGTTGGGTATCTATATTGCTTATTCATATGAAACACCCTATATATTTTTTCAACTCGACAATTTTTGCGGTGAAATCCTCTTATCGACATTGGTATATTGTCAAATTGTCAAAATATTTGAAGATATAGCTACCCGGCATTCATCATCTGGCACCATGTATGGTAGTACTGGCGCATTTGGTTTTGTGCTTCGATCGTATGATCGAAGGTTTTGTGCTTAATTCAAATACAAAGACTTGCACTGTGGTAATGTGGTTACAAATTTGTTAAATAATTGAAGACAGTTAAAACAATTAAGTAATTAGCAATAATTATAAAATGCATTTCCTGCTTAAATACTGTACCGCTAATGGTTCTAGAGTTCTAGTACATTTAGTTGCATAAATTGTACTAGCAATTAAATACATCATTCCATTACAAAATGTTTTTGATTTGGAATTTCTGAAATAAAGTACTGCTTGAGCGTGCCATAGAAATTATTATTTTTTTTTTATTTTGCCTTTATTTTTAAATGGGCGGGGTTTCAGCCGAGGCTGCTCTACCAACCCAACCCACTATACATTTACAAATATCCATGCCCGAACCCGGATTCGAACCAGGGACCCTGTACCGCAGTCGAGCTTCCACTGAACTGCGCTACACGGGCCGGTTATGTCCTTTCACCAAAAATTGCGAATGATTCAGATGGCAAACTTTATTTATCAGAACCTTTGTTATTGCATATACCGCTATACTCACAGTTTCCCACACTCAAACAATATGTATCCCTGTACAATCATGTACTTTCCCTCGGATCCAAACTATTTATAATCGGTTGAGAACTGCTGACTTCTAGGTGATTGGTATCTATTGTTGTATCCATTTAAACAAACCGTAAGGATTGTTTTGAACAACTTTCGACAGAAAAACTGCAGTTTTTCCCTTACGTTTGAGATGTAAACTTAAGGAGAAATGTTAACTGTTTCGCTCAATCCACTATAGATGCCGGAGTGATAAAGATACCTAGCGGCATTCAACTCGAAATGCAACTTTAGTCTAAGGTTACCGTGTCCAGGATCTTCAGATACCATCTGAACTGGAGGAGGTTCCGGAACGACGCCACAATATATCCTTAGATATACTATGGCGACGCACATACAAATCCCAAGAGTAGTGCTCCTGGTGGGGATTTGCCAAGATCGGATATGGTACCGTTATATTAAAAAACGGTGAAGTGAAAGTGCAAATGCAAGCAATAAGTGTGAAAAACCATTGATTATATGAGTACACAAGGTATTTCGAAATTCGCGCACGCGGACTGTGGGATGGTGTTATACAACAACAACCGAATAAAAAGTTCCTCTACCAGTTTTTGATCAGACCGGCACTTTTTTTTCGACGTGCTGAAGCTTGTTTACTAGCAGACGACGGACATTTTGAACAACTGTTGTAATTACGTACTCGTCATAATTATAATTTATGTTGAACCTTCTTCTGTTTTTAAAAATGTGTTACTATTAAGTTTAACCAGTGGCGCAGCGTAGGGGGGCGGAGATTTTTAAAACCGCGGTAGCTCGAAAAATACCGGTTTGATGGAAAACTAGAAGAGAAACTTTTTGTTCACCCCCATCCCTTGTCCGTGTGCGCAAATTTCGAAACACCCTGTTTTTGGGGCCTCTCCCGTAAGACATAAATAAATAATCTTTGGCGGTTATGTATCCACTGACCTAAATAGAGATCAGTGCATATATCATGATTTCACTATTTTTTTTTATTACTTTAGCCAAATAATTACCTGGTAGCGTAGTTATAACTATAAACTAATATTCAACAAATTTAGTTACCTACTGAGAAAGTAAGTAGATTGTGGTTGCTCTGGGATCTCGATCTGTACTATTTAATACCAAAATACATCTTTAATAAACCAAAACAGATTTTAACACATTTATTTATAACGTTATTGTTGTTAGGTATGGATGTAGATGCAGATGGTACACCACTCATTAAAATTGAGCCAAAACAAGAAGATGAAATCAATTCCTCTCTTCAGGGACATATTTCAGTAAGCAACGAAGTTTTGGTGACAATAAAGACCGAAGTTACCATTAGTACACCATGTTCTAAATTTCGTGAGCAACACTCTGACTTACAACTGCATCTTTTAACTACGTGTAAAATAGTGTCTAAGGATTTTAAATGTGGTGATTGTGATTTTAGCACAAATGTTAAAGGCACTTTCGAACGACATGTTTTAAGACATAAAGTTACTAAAGATTTTAAATGTGCTACTTGTGATTATGGTACAAATGTTAAATGTGACTTCAAACGACATCTATTACAACATAAAGTTTCTAAGGACTTTAAATGCGCTGATTGTGCTTATGGGACAAATGTTAAATACCACTACAAACGACATCTTTTACAACATAAAATTTCTAAGGATTTTAAATGTGCTAATTGTGACTATGAGACAAATTATAAATTCGATATTAAACAACACCTTTTAAATCATAAAGTTTGTAAGGATTTTAAATGTGCTGATTGTGATTATGGCACAAATGTTAAATATGACTACAAACGTCATCTTTTAAAACACAAAGTTTCCAAGGATTTTAAATGTGATCATTGTGATTATGCAACAAACGTTAAAAGCAATTTCAAACAACATCTTTTAAAACACAAAATTTGTAAGGATTTTAAATGTGCTAATTGTGACTATGAGACAAATTATAAATCCCATATTAAACAACACGTTTTAATACATACAGATTTTAAGAATTTTAAATGTCCTAATTGTGATTATGCCACAAATGTGAAATACTACTACAAACGACATGTTTTAAAACACAATGTGTCTAAGAATTTTAAATGCGATAATTGTGATTACGCGACAAATGTTAAACGCTACTTAAAAAGACATCTTTTAAAACACAAAGTTTCTAAGGATTTTAAATGTGCTAATTGTGATTATGGGACAAATGCTAAAGGCAATTTCACACAACATCTTTTAAAACATAAAGTTTCTAAAGATTTTAAATGTGATAATTGCGATTTTGGGACAAATATTAAAAGCAACTTCAAACAACATCTTTTAAAACATAAAGTTTCTAAGGATTTTAAATGTGCTAATTGTGATTATGGCACAAATGTGAAGTACTACTACAAACAACATCTTTTAAAACATAGTTTGTAAGGATTTTAAATGTACTAATATGTGATTATTGTCATAAAAAAAAAATATCTTAAAACTCACATTTTAACTCGCACAGTGTCTAAACTCACTTGTTAAAATTGCTTTCATTGCCATTACAAGACAAATACTAAAATGATAATACTCAAAAGTAAAACAACACTAATACAGAAAATTGGCAAAGATTTCAAATGTGCTAACTAATTTAACCCAGCAGCCCAGAGCCAGGTAATCTGATCTACCCAGTGGATTGTTGATAATATTAATGATCGCTATATTTCTGTTTGTTGCTATAGTTGATTTATTTCTTGTATTTGTGTGTGTGTTATGCCAGATTTTTTTCTTGCGGGTTCTTTTTTCCCCCCTAGCTTTTCGGTTTGGATTTGCGTCGCGGAGGCACAAAAATCTGGTGGTGTCTCACATTCCAACACAAATGACATCGCCGCCGTAGCACAGAATGTAGAGTACGCAACGCTATACAAAAGTGTCTTCATGTCGGGCGTCCGGCACATTTGATGTCCTTCCTAATTAAAACTCGCTCCGTATGGCGCCGTCCCAGCCAAATGCTTCAGAGATTTGCAAGTGGCGCGAAAATTCCGACATTTCGACAAGGAAAGTTAGATGGCGCTGCTTGTATTTGTGCCCCAGGGTTGCCAACTCTAAGTACAGGGTAAGTCAATATTTATAAGGTCGGCTGAGGTCCCTAAGAACATTACAAACTAACCAAGAAAAAAATACCCAGCCGACAAATTATTATACTGTATAGCAAATTTCATTTTTTCTGATGCGATGAATGCATAACATAAAATTATAACAACAATTAACTGTAGCATGTGTAGGATTCTAGAGGTGACATATTTGCACCGACTTGGCACAAGGTTTATGTCCATTTTTTTCCCAAAAATCATACCCTGCTCTCAAGATATACATTATTCAAATATTAACTTCAGAGCTAAAACGCTAGCACTTAATTTGCTACTGATCTCTCGCTTTTCATGTATGGGGAGGGCTTGAATACTGTGAATCACCCCTCTTACATACGGGCTTGTAATAAAGGTGGCTCTTCAATAAGTAGGTGATTAGATATCTACAACTTTTGAAATCGATGCAGAATAAACAACCTGGTTCAATGCAATCAATATAATTATTATATAAAGAAGGTTATACAGTTAAATTTCCATTACAAACAATGTCCAACTACAAACATAGACATGTACTCATATGTCTATGACTACAAAAACATTCCCATTACTAACGCTACAGTCTAACTACGAACCCCTAGATAGCTAATATCGACGCTAATAGTAAACAGTACAATAATAATGTATAGAGTATAGGTAATGAATCTTTATCCAATGATTTGTAGCAAGCAATAGTCGATCAAAATCTAAAACGAATACAGTTGCACACCAGTTAAAATTGAATCGCACACTTACCATTACTTGAACCACTAATATTCCCAACAGAGATGCAAATATATGACCAACTTGATGATGCATGAACCAATTCAAAATGAGCAAACCCAGCCCATATAAAGTCAGTATGACGCATACGGAAGTTAGAAACGAAGAGGTCGGTGGGCCACGTAGGATTGTTAACGTGATAAGGTACAGCACATACAAAAGCAGGTACTTGTCCATTGCCAGATTGGTAATTTCGGCAATGTCATCCGCAGTTACCGGAATGTCGAACAAGGTTTGCTGTTGGCGAGCCTTATCGAGAAATGGGCGCATGATGGTGCATATTTGAAGCAGCCCGAACAGTGTTAAAGCTGCAAGTTAATGCGGTGCAAGAAAACCAATTAATAATAAAGTTCAGACTTACCGCTGCGCCAACAGTGGACGATTCCTTTTAAATACGTTCTTCCTTTATAAACAAAGGCTCTACGCTTAACTTTGCCCAACGCAACAACCAACATTTTGAAAATTGGCAAATAATTTCAGGCACTTGACAACGAATTATTAATGAGCTTTCTTGCGTGGATGAGCTTTTATGAAGAGGTGTTGGTGGTGGAAAGGAGGGGATGCACGTCATAAGCTTCTAGCCAATCACACTTCGAACCACCAAGGTCTCTGCTAAGTCGCTAGCAAGAGGTGGGCGCATTGCGTTTATGTTTTATTTTGTGGGAAATTCTTGAAAATGATGATAATTTAGAAGTTTGGCCCGCATGGTCCCAATTAACGTGCAAGGAAGGCCCACAAGTTCGGATTAAAAAAAAAATGAGCCCAGATTTTTGTTAGCCGTGTCATTTACTAGTGGCCCTTACACCAAAAATACTTCCGCCTGTCAACAATAAATAATTGTATTGATTTCCTTTGTGTTAACAAAATAATTTTTAAATTGATAGGTACCAGTCGGGAAGATCGCCAATTCGATATTTCATTATCGTTTCTTATAATAAACAATTTCGTGAAGGTATCCTGTGCTGCTAGTCATGCGATATCGATGACGCTGTGTCTTGTTATTATAAGAAATTCCTTGATAAAGAACTATGCTTTCTTTATTAAAAACTTTAACATTCCTATTAATGTTTAAAATTCGGCAAGTACATCAGAGTCAAAATGAATCCGCACACTAAATTGTTATACTTCCTTCCAAATTATCGAGTTTGTCGTTTCCAAAAGTTTTTTATTTGAAAGACAAACTCGATAATTTGAATCATAACATCCCAAATATGGATCCACCAATACAATATCAAATATGTTATAATTCCTGTTTTCCAGTCAAAAACTGCAGCAGGATTTGAAAAAAGTCACAGCGCAGTCTGGGGGTCCATGGTAAAACACGCACCTCCTAAACTTATAAATAGCCGAGTGGATTGACCTCAGTTCCAACATAGGTACCATGCGATCAAAAATGAGCTGCTGATTTCGAGTCACCTTTGGAATTTTTGTTTGCATGTGAAATCACATACTTAACTTGAACTTCCAAAGGCGACTCGACAGCAACTCATTTTTGATCGTCCGTTATATTACATCAATCAATTAACTGTCCTGCATTGATAAACGCAAATGAATACTTTGATAAAGAAACTACGGGGATAACTAACGCTGTAAACCATGTCACCACTATCCAAGCTAGGCCCAAAACGGATAATAACAACCCTCCGACCCATATATAGCTATGATCAAAAACAAAAATAGACTGCGGCGCATAATATGGCTAAGAACAAGACGCCAACTAATTAAAACGTTAAATCAAGCAAATCCGCGAAGTTAAGGTCGTACTGGACAACCCTAATAGCCGAACTTCAAGCCAAAGATCCCAATCTATGGCGGGGAACCCGAGGGATATTGAAACCTCAGAGTAAGTCTTACTCTGAGATTGAAACAGCCACCTCAAGTATGCTAGGGACCTAGGGTAAAATTAACGATCCAGTGCGATATCTTCTCAGAGCACCTGGAAAAAACGTTCTCAAGCCATTTCTTAGACATATACCGTATACACTCGATCAAGGCGCTACTGGATCATAATCAGGAGTTGGAACCGGAACCGATTGCATTTATAAGGTTCTGATTTGGAACCGGAACCGATATTTTAAAAGTTATGATAACCGGAACCGATACCGACTTTGTCTGGTTTGAAATAAATTTATATGGCAAAAGTACAGTGAATTTTGTTTAAATGCGAACATAGGAGTTTGCATGCAATGTAATTTCCCTATGTTCGATTAAAAAAAAACACATCCATCTATTGAGTAGTTCAAATGAGTAGTAGATACAATTGTCAGCTTTCACATTTTTAAAAATACCGCCGTCCAATTTAATTACGAAATCGGTTACGTTATTGCTTATAATGTCAAGGAGGACACTTCGAACATTTATTGTAATTGTTTTCGGTATTTATTTTCTTCATTTATGTATTGAATAGATCAAATTAGTAGAATACCAGGTGCACATGACCTACAAATAATTGAAGGTTGGTTCACAATGAGTTGTGGTGTCAGTGCGTGCCCTGTGAGGTCAAGTTATCGTAAGTTTAAGAAAAATGTATCCTAAAGTTGCTATGGGCTCACATGGCTTCTTTAAAAAATCTTACCGAGTGCTCTTCATCATAAAGACTTAATAGAATTGCTGTTCATAGTAACACAAGTTGCGCGATTTGGGAATGTGAACCGCGCACACCTCATAGATTGATGTGTTTTTTTTTTAAATCGAACATAGGGAAATTACAATGCATGCAAACTCCTATGTTCGCCTTTTAAAAAAACTCACTGTATAATATTTCAAATTATACACCAGTCACTTTTAATTTTTAAAATTCAAAAATAAAACATAGATACTTACATGTGAGTTCGTTTAGTAATATTCTTACCCATAGTAAAATGTAAAAGTGAACCACCACCACACACAACCACACTATTGCGGCGCCTTTTTTTTCATATTGTACAATTGTTTAATTGCGATCGAAAAAGTACTATTACCCACTTTTACCCGAAAAAACCCAAATGGGCCCAGTGGGTTGGGGCTTTAAAAAAAAACCAAGTTATTTCAAACCCTGCAATGAGCACATTTAAAATGCTTTGAAACTTTGTGTTAAAAAGTGCAGCTTAAGGCGATATTTGTTGTTTGCCTCTACCACATTTAAAATCCTTTGAAATTTTATGTGTTAAAATATGTTGTTTAAAGCTGCTTTTATAATTTGTCTCATAATCACAATTACCTACCCACACTTAAAATCTTTCGAAACTTTATGTATTATAAGATGTCCCATAATTACAGTGAGCCCATTTAAAATCCTTTGAAACTCTATGTCGGTTTTAAAAGATGCTGGTTAAAGCAATGTTTATTATGCATATCTTTTCTGTTCATTTATATTATACATAATAACATAAGTTACAATGGAGGTACGCCACTGGTCAAGAAATGCAAACCACTGGTGGAATTGTCAAAATAAGAGGAGAGTATAATCACACAATGAAAAAAATAAGGAAAAAGAAATATGAAATAACAAATACGGAATAAGAAGTAACGAATAACAATTTTCAATCTACATTTATTTATTTGTGTCAATCACAATTACTTACCACATTTAGAACCCTTAGAAACTTTATGCTTTAAAAGATGTCGTTTCAAGTTGTATTTAATATTTGTCCCATAATCACAAACAGCACATTTAAAATTCTTAGAAAGTTTATGTTTTAACAGATGTCGTTTAAATCTGCTTTTAACATTTGTCCCATAATCACAATTATCACATTTAAAATCCCTAGAAACTGTATGTGTTAAAAGATGTTGTTTAAAGTTGCCTTTATGATATGTCCCATAATTACAGTGGGCACATTTAAAATCGTTTGAAACTCGATGTATTAAAAGGTGTTTTCTAAGAGCATTTTTAAAATTCGTCTCAAAGTTACAATTACCACACTTTAAATCCTTAGAAACTTTATGTGTTAGAAGATGTTGTTTAAAGTTGCCTTTATTACTTGTCTCATAATCACAAATACCGCATTTGAAATCCTTAAAACCTTTATGTGTCAAAAGATGTCTTCTCAAATTATGTTTATTATTTGTCTCATAATCACAATTACCACATTTGAAATCCTTAAGAACTTTATGTGTCAAAAGATGTCTTCTCAAGTTATGTTTACTATTTGACTCATAATCACAACTACCACATTTCAAGTCCTTAGAAATGTTATGTGTTAGAAAATGTCGTTTGAAGACTTGTTTATCATTTGTCCTATAATCACAATCAGCACATTTAAAATCCTTAAAAACTTTATGTTTTAAAAGATGTCGTTTCAAGTAGTGTTTATTACTTGTCCCATAATCACAAACAGCACATTTAAAATCCTTAGAAACTTTATGTTTCAACAGATGTCGTTTAAATCTGCTTTTAACATTTGTCCCATAATCACAATCAGCACATTTAAAATCCTTGGACACTTTATGTAATAAAAGATGTCGTTTCAAGTTGCGGCTAACGTTAGTCACATAATCACAATTAGCACATTTAAAATCCTTTGAAGTATGTTTTAAAAGATACTTAAAATTGCTTTTATAATTTGTCTCATAATCTTTAGAAACAATTTTACACCCAGTTAAAACACCACTATGAAAGTCAGAATGTTGTACTTCTTCATCAAAAAGGGATTTAGAACCCAGTGTAGTAATTTCCTCTTTTATTGCAACCAAAGCATCGTTGCTCACCAAAATATTTCCCTCAAGAGAGAAATGAATTTCTTTTTCCTGTTTTGGTTCAATTTTAAGTGGCATACCATCATCTCTGTCCATACCTAAAACCAAATGTTATCCAGAAATGTGTACAGAGAACATAAGGCACCTACTTTTGGCTTGGCGCAACGGTCAATTAAATGGGCAAAAGGTACTACAATATTGTTAATTAATAAGTCACCACCGGTCTTACGAACTTTGTCTTTCTTCCAAACTTATAGTAGTCAAACAAAATCTAACACCTTTGTTTATTCATGATCATGAATAAACAAAGCTAACATCAGGAAGGGAAGTTGTGTTAACAGCTGCGTGTGGCTAAATGCGTGCCCTTTACTAAATTATTTTTGTTTCATAGACGGCGTTGCCATATTCAAACCAAATCAAGATTTTAGGGGTTTTACATTAAAATGAAAAAGGTAAAATGATTCTTGTAATCACTAGCCAGGGGGGATTATAATAACGACGAATGAGTAACCTAAAATATAATTTTGATTAGACCGTACGATACTTCGTCTGTTTAATATGATAAACCACCAAACCTAACCCTATAAAACGTTCGTCCGCAATGAAATTTTTTTCTAAGATTACTCTGCCATTACAAGAAATTTGCAACCACTCTTCATAATTTAACGACAAATAATCGGTTTAAATTAAAAGAACGCGGTAAAATAATTACCGATCATATTTTCGAACGCTACGGTATATACCGTTATCTACCGCTCCAATTTTCGTAAATGCGCTATATGATACACTTAAAATAGTACAAAACCTGGCAGTTTTTTCAAAACGCATCGATTTGCATTAAAATTTTGGGATTAAGATCATTTTTACCACTACAAAATCTATACTAGGGGTGAAAACTAGCCATCTTTTTGTCAAAATCCAAAAATCAATATAGGGCGCTATCGCTATTATAAGATGGAACCAAAGCTCTCATGCTCAAAGCGTTTGGGACATATAGACATGAAAATTAGAAAGCTTCCATTTGTAATTATGTCACATATTTGGATGTAAAAAATTTTTAGACATACGGTTTTTGATTTTGATTATATATAATCAAAGGTTTTTGAGTACGACCGCCATCTTGAATTTTTTTGCAACATAGGCCATGTGATACGTCATTAGAAAGTTTTATTTTTTCCCTTTGTTACTGATGTTAAATTATAAAATAATGCAGAAAAATTAGAAAACCTTACAATACGCTGGGCTGGTAAGTAGATACTTTTAAATTAACAAGCAAGAAATAAGGCAGGTGTTTAATTAGTGACAAAAACACGTACGTAATACATATTGCACGAGCATATACCTACAACTATTGTATTGCGTAAGAAACAAATCTTTTTGTGAAATATGGACAATGTGACAGTTTTTTTTTCGCTAGTTTCTAATTTAAAAAATTCATAATTAAGGTAGTAAGAACTAGAAAAAATTAGCTTTCTAATGACGTATCTCATGACCTATGGTGCCCTTAGATCATATATACATGATCTCAGATGGTGCCATTTAAAACATTCAAGATGCTTGAAATATTAGTAATTTCATTTTGTACCTCTTCAACCCTTAAAAACCATCCTATATAATATTGCAATACTTTAGCAGATAAAAATAGAAAAAAAGGTTTCACATAGCTTACGCCGTCTACACGTGCTCATACCTGGTGTTTAAAATATAAAAATGGCCTTTACTAGAAGAATTTTTAGTTTAAATTTCAAAAAAATCTCCATAAATAAAAAGTGCGTATGAGCACATCTGATTTTACAATATGGGATATGCTTGTCGTCACTAGTGGTTAAAATTTCAAAAAATAACTATAAATAAGAAAGTTGATATTGCGCATACGCACACTAATTGTCAAGGTTTTTCATAGTAGGTGCCAAAGCTATAAGCAACCGAATGCAAAAAGGACGAACTGAAATATCAGTAGTTAAGGCCTCGCACGGACGGCGCCTTCCAACTTCGGTTGGAAAGTGCGCTAAAAATACATTTATAGTGTACATATACATATCACATAGAAAAAAAAACAAATTTCAAATTTTTATGATTTAATCATTTTAATATTCTTTCATCAATGTGATAACCATCCCCTCCTCATCTTCAAATATATATTATTTCATCTTATAATCACAATCGGCACATTTAATTCCTTAGAAACTATGTGTTGAAAGATGTTTTTTAAAATTACCTTTGAGATTTGTCCCATAATCACAATGAGCACATTTAAAATCCTTTGAAACTTTATGTGTTAAAAGGTGCTGGTTAAAGCAATATTTATTGTTTGTCTCATAATCACAATTACCACATTTCAAGCCCTTAAAAACGTTATGTTTTAAAAGGTGTTTTCGAAGATCGGATTTAAAATTTGTCTCATAGTTACAATTACCACATTTAAAATCCTTAGAAATTTTATGTGTTAAAAGATGTTGTGTAAAGTTGCCTTTATGATTTGTCTCATAATCACAATTGCCACATTTAAAATCTTTAGAAACTTTATGTTTTAAAAGATGTTGTTTGAAGTTGAATTTAACATTTGTCTCATAATCACAATCAGCACATTTAAAATCCTTCGATACTTTATGTATTAAAAGATGGTGTTTGAATCTGCTTTTAATACTTGTCTCATAATCACAACTACCACATTTTAAATCCTTGGAATCTTTATGTGTTAAAAAATGTCGTTTGAAGACGTGTTTATCGTTTGTCCCATAACAACAATCAGCACATTTAAAATCTTTAGAAGCTTTATGTTTTAGAAGATGCCGTTTGAAGTACTTTTTAACATTTGTCCAATAATCACAATCAGCACATTTAAAATCTTTAGAAATTTTATGTTTTAAAAGATGTTGTTTGTAGAGGCATTTGACATTTGTGCCATAATCACAATCAGCACATTTAAATTCTTTAGAAATTTTATGTTTCAAAAGATGTTGTTTGAAGTTGCCTTTATCATTTGTTGCATAATCACAATCAACACATTTAAAATCCTTTGAAACTTTATGTATTAAAAGATGTCGTTGGATGTACTTTTTAACATCTGTCTTATAATCACAATAAGCACATTTAAAATCTTTATAAACTGTTTTACACTGACTTAAAAGGTGACGTTGCTGTACTTCTTCTGAGACTTCATTATAAATAAGAGATTTAGAACACTGTCCACGATCGATAATTTCCTCTTTTACTCCAACCAAAGCGTTGCTCACAAAAATGTTTCCCTGAAGAGAGGAATGGATTTCTTCTTCCTGCTTTGGTTCGATTTTAACAAGTGGTGTGTCATTATCTCGGTCCATTCCTAAAAACAATAATGTTATCAAGAAATGTGTTACAACTCTATTATTTTAGAATATCTAAAATCTATTTGGGTAGGTAAGTGCAGCATTTGTAGTGATACCACAGGTGATGTTTAGTGGAAGTTTTAATGGTGGCGTATATTTTCAGCTTTGAAGCAAATTGTAAAGAACAAATGTAGAAACTTACCCCTGTCACTTACCCACACTTACCAACAAAAATTTACAAAACGCAATGAATTATGAAATATGAATTAGCTACACAGAACAGTGTTCTGTGAATAGCTACTCTCAAATGCAACGTTGTCAAATCTTATATAACGCCTCTAAGAATGCCTTAAGTTGGATTCACATGAATACGAAATCCGACGATACCGTCATCCGAAATGCTTATGATTGGTCAATAATTTGAAATGTGCTTGACATTTCAAACTATTGACCAATCATAAGCATTTCGGATGACCGTATCGTCGGATTTCGTATTCATGTGAATCCAGCTTTAATGTGGACCACTGAATAAAATGTGGACGCCTGGACGGCACTGTCAAAACTTAACGTCCTTGGTCAATACCACGGTCGTATACACAGACCTAGAAACTTGAGCCTCTATTGTATTGCATGCAAGTTTCTTGCAGCAATTGACTAGCTGGCATTAAACTGCGCACGCCTTTCGCAATTTCCCTTGCAACTTGCATGCAATTGCTCACACCAGCGGTCGTCAACGTTTTAAAGTCTTCAAAATGTTCGTAGGGGTGCTGCAATTGTATCTACGCGGAGACCGCCATTCGCATAAAGTGGTACATAAAAATAAAAATATTTATAATCATATAACTTATTGCACCAACGATGAATCCCCTACTGTGAAGTTAATCAAAACCTGGGGGTGAAGAACACTACATAGTTAAACACTTAAACTGCAATACAATGGTCTCATCGAAAAATTCATCCTTACATTGTTCAATGAAATTGGTTTTCCTGATCCAATAAATTTTGCCATATGTTGAATTTCTATTCATTGCAACTCAAAAAATTATTTTTCCAGAAATACCGGTTCCAATGTTTATCAATTTGGAGAGTTTTTAATTTTTTTCCCGTTCGTATTACATAGAATTTATTAAAGCCCCGGGACTCGACAGCTACCCTAATTTCAATGTCACGACCGCCTGTCTCTCATTGACAGGAAAAATATGCGATTTATATTCAGTTTGTTGCAGGGTTTTCCGAGGGTTTTCCACTTGTGGTTGTGATAGGTAAAGCATTTTACGATCGTAAATGATTCTACTATCACTTTGTATCTCGCGCCAAATAAAAGTCTAATCTCTGTCCGGAAGATGTCACTGCGGTTCGCCTATCTGATTTCTGACTCAACTTCTGAAGTGGTTTGCATCCAAAATGTTAAATTCCTAAATTAAACGTCATTTCCATTGTTGTGAACAACATTATTTAATTTAAGTTTAATAATGGTCGATGAATCCAGAGTTAAACAATGGCTCTCAAACGCAAATGTAAGGATTATTTATAGTTAAACCCGCGTTCACTATCTTGTGTGCTTTTAGTATCGCAATCCAGATATAGTGCTCCGAGAAATTTTAACTATCACTGGTAGTTATCAGGGATTATTTCCACAACTTGACACGTACAGTAAGCATTGCTAACTATATTAAGTCATATTCTGCATTTTAACTGTAGCTTTTAACGATGGAACGCCAATGGAGTTAGTTCATTTAAAGGGAACTATTCCGGTTAGGTATAAGAGTAATGTCTACAATATTCCGATATGTATATGGATAATGGATACACATCCTAATAATGCCCCCATTTGTTACGTCAAGCCCACACCGGATATGTCGATCAAAGTTTCAATGTATGTCGATCAAAATGGCAAAATATATCTTCCCTACCTGCACGAGTGGGATTTGGTAAAGGTTTTCGTACTTAGGTAGCCATTAACAGTAATTTTTAGAACTCTTCGGATGTATTGGGTTTAATTCAAGTAATGATGGTTACATTCGGCGAGCAACCGCCTGTTTTTGCAAAACCGAAAGAAGACCTACCTTACCAGCGATCATGTAAGCATAAGTAACTGCAGTTATGGATTTACTCCTTGCTTATTTCCAGCATATATGCCACAACCACCCGGAGGAAGTAACTCATTTATGCCATTTCCCACACCGTATCCGCCTGCAGGGGGCTTTAGTGGATATCCTCCCTATCCTCCAACGAACACTGGGTTTCCCCAATATCCGAACTACCCACCATACACTCCCTATCCAGCATCAAATTTTGATAAACCTCCTGTCCCTGCAGCTGGCATGACTGGAACAATTAAAGAGGAACACATTAGAGAGTCGTTGTTAACGGCTATCGAAGAAAAACTAATGAGACGGATGAAAGAGCAATTTCAACAAAGTCAAGCCGAATTAGATACTCTGCGTAGGACTCAAGATGAACTGAAGCAAGGTAAAGCAAAATTGGACGCTATTTTGGCCAGATTAGAAAAGGAAGAGGTAATTAGTAGGTCTTTGGTTCTTAATGTTGATGGTTACATTTCAGAATGATCTTAACAAAAATATTACCATTTTGCAAGACAAGGAACAAGAGCTCGACAAGGCCATTGAAAGGCTAAGCAGTCAAGAATCGATAGATGTCGATGATGCGGTAATCACAACTGCACCATTGTATAAGCAGTAAGTGTTTTGCTGTCTTAAAAACCTTACCTTCACATTTTTTTTCAGATTATTAAATGCATTTGCCGAAGAGGCTGCCCTTGAAGATGCCATTTACTACATGGGGGAAGCTCTGCGGAGAGGCGTAATCGATCTTGATGTCTTCTTAAGACAAGTTAGAACGTTATCACGCAAACAGTTCATGTTAAGAGCGCTTATGCAAAAATGTAGACAAAAAGCTGGCTTGACCGTTTAGGTATATGTTTGTTGCAATTTCACATATGTTTAAGGGAAGTATGCGAGCGCATGACTTTACCATGTAGATCAATATAAAATTTTAATTACTGTTTATCCACAGAGTATAATATTAAAATATAACTTTCTAAGATGTAATTTATTAATGGATTTTTAATACTATTATTAACATAGCCAATAGTTAAACCTACACTAAACATAAATTCCCACCGAAAGTAGTAGAAACAGAATCCCGAAACCTGAGAAAATCGATGCCACAAGTGATACGAGAAGCTCTTTCTTGATATCCCTCGTCTGTTTGGTGCTCGTCACTTCGTAGACGAAAAACCATGCCGTGAAAAATATTCCAATTCCAAGTAATACGAAAGTTAAATGTGGAAATACCGCAGGGTTGATAGGTGAGACATAACGAGACATTAACTCCACATCAACCTAAAAGCATTTGACAGGATGAAGCTGAAATTGAATATATTGTAATGTTTACCATTTTCTTCTTTTTAATAAACCGACCGGTTAAATTAACTCAAAAATTGAAAAATAACCTCACACGTCAGCTTTTAAGACGATGGTAGTGAAGAGAAGTTAGCAACTCACTAGCAATCGCACTTTAATATACAAGGTGCTTCAGTACTTAGAAATAAGCATCACCCGAAAAGGTACGTACCTAACTAGCCCAACTAAAAATTTATTACATTACATTATTAACGATCTCCTAGCGAGTTCATAATTTTGCGAGGTCTGTTTGTCCGTTAGCACAATGTCTCGAAAACGTATGGACCGATACTATGCAATTTTGCAGGTGGGTTCTTTACCAAATTTGTACATAGATCGGAGTCTGTGAATTGGCAGTGTAGACCAAAAAATTAAGAAGGCCCTTTTGACATCACGGTTACTTATTAACCGAATTGCATAAAATTCAAAATGAGCATAGCTCTAGCCATGTGATATGCATAGCCAAGCTATAACCATACCCAGAAGCTCGTTTGCTATTATATTTGTTTAGTTTATTCAGTTTGGGACTGCATCAATGTTTCAATATTTTATTTACGTAATGAAAATCTTGTTCAAATTCTGAAAAGATAAATAATTACAACATTTTTGAAACAAACTAAATTAGGTATGTAGTAAACACATTTTTAGAACCGTACTGCAATGAAATCATTTACTGTATACGTGAATCACGTGTTTGTATTGTTCTTTTCAATACTTTTTCGCACTTTAGCAATTTAGAATGTTTTATGTGCAAGGTAATCTACAGATTGCTACTAATTTCATGGAAATTTCGCACTTTAATGGATCTGAACCGTTAACCTGGAAATTAGCCCGTCAATTGCGCACATTAACGTTTTTCTAATAGCGTTTTCGATTGGCAAAACTCGTACTGCACGAGTGTTGCACGAGAAACTGAAGAAATCCATGTGAAAATTGCTCTCAATGGAACATAAATATTCGTAAATATTTGTTGTCATTTGTCCATAACCTCATTTTAGATTTTGGTAATCGACCAATCTCTATTCTAAAAAATGACAAACGATTTCAGTATTATTTACACAGAGTTAGGTATACAACTCTGTGATTATTTATGATAAACGATGAGGAATATAAATTTGAAATTCCTGTAAAGGACCAATTTTTGGCGTTCAGTTTAATGAGTAAGTGCAACTTTTTGTAAAATAGAAGTTATGGCTAGTTCATCATCTTCGCTATCGCTAGATGACGACAAAAAACTCTCCCAACGCAAGAAACAAATTCAAATTGTCGCACGTTTGTTTTGAAAATTTGTTAACTAGCAGCTCCACGAGCTCTCGGACCTCGTGCGTCGAAATTTGCACTGAGTGCGTAATTGTTGCATCACATTTGCCAATGGAACACAGAAAATTGCCCTAAAATTACCAATAGAACGTAAAAATTGCACTCGTGCAGCACGAGTTTTGCCAATCGAAAACGCTGCAACATTCGCAGTAACATATGAACGCCTTCGTTTTTACGCACCTAATCAAAATTATTTATTGCTCCCTTTTTTTGGGCGCAATAAAATAACACCCCTATTTATTCGTGAAAAACAGAACAAGAGAGGGATAATAAACAAATAAATATGGCACGTGACAGAGTGCTTGCTCCAGCTGCGAGACGAAGGCGCGGCTAAACATCGCTACGAAGTCTCCTAGTGTGAAGGGGCGGTTATTCGTCGAACAACAATCGAACAAGTAACAAAACGTCGTCGTACAACAATAAATATTAATAATGAGCGTGTCTGTTAAAAAGCAGCACGCCATTTTCGTCGAACTTATTTGTGCTACACTCTGAAAGCTTCATCGATAGCATCGCCTACGCCAAAGCAGAACCGTCGCCTGCGTTTTCTATCCAGTCCGTAATCTACGCTGTCGCTACCATAAAAGAAACCAATCAACGCCAAACCTCCATCGCTATCTTATCTTCGCTTATCGCCTTCGTTTGTTTATTGAACCTTCTTCTCAGAAAATAATTCTACAGATTCCAGATGATGAGATTCAATAAAGTACGAACCAAGCAATTGAAGAACCTACGTCGTTCGAATCGGATAAGGAAACCACCTCAGGACCTGATGTTATAAGTGATGGTGTAGTGTAGTGTGTAATTTTTTTTGCCTGTGGCAAAGTAAGTCGTAGTTACATAAAATGTAAGCCAAATCCAATGAAGTGTTTGGAAGATACGAATTTTTTTATATTTTGAAAACGCACATTAAATATAACAAATTTTTTTTTGATTCAATAAACTAATTAATCCTAGGATGTATTCTAGGTAATTGTTTATGATAACATTCCGCATCTTAAAATTTTAAACCCCGATTGTAAGTTTGTTTAGTAACATTTTGCCAATCTGAAGGTTGTCCCCAAAAGGCCGTAATTGTTTAATTATTGGGCACAATTTACTCCAGGGTCTTCCTGAAAAAAAATATTGTAACTTTTTTGTGTCTTACTGTAAAGTTTATAACCTGTAATTAAACATCTCATATACAAAACTTTTTTTCCTAATTGCAACATGTCAGGAAATAACATATAATATTATATCGTAAAACTTTCAAATTTTGTCATGCAACCGACGACATGCCGATATTGGCCGAGCGTCGCTTACGTCACTATGCGGGTTGCCGATCGGGAGTTATATTAGTGCATGACACTGATAGGAGTTCGATTCGACTTATTATGGCCATCTATCATAAACTGAGTTCTGACTGGTTCGTAAAGGGGCAGTTAGATAGTCTGCCAAAGGTTGAAGTGTTAATGGTCGCCGCCTTTTTCTCGAAAAGTGAGTTTTTCCATGCCACTCGTTTGAGTGGAGTCAAAGCCCAGAAGCAAATCTGTTATGGTTCATAGGAAGTATAACATCAAGTTTTGTGTGTATAGTGCAAGGTATAGTGTAGGTACCTAATACAGTATGCACCTTACGGATTTCAACGAGAAAATTAGGGTGTTGGACATGTGGAAGTGAAAATAGAGAAAAATGTGTGCATTGTAAGGGCACAGATATGCCCAGAACAGAGTTCCAAGTAAACTATATTCTGAATTACAATTACAATATTATATATCGATGGATTTTCGTCGATAACTGACTGAAAGTAAATCGACGTACTTTAATTAATTAGAATCGTCTTCACAATACAAATGGGATGTCAAACTCGCGGTATCACGTCGAACTTTTTTCGTATATTTCCTGTTGGGACGTTTATATACAATTTATTAGGTTCGCAATTACTTCTGCTATCACACCCAGGCACAAATGCAATAATTATTCGCCGCTTTTTCCCGTCAAAACGACGTTTTCTTACTCTGAATCGATTGTAAGCAATGCTACGGCTGAGCGCCAACGTGCGTAGTGACGTCACAGCAACGTGGCGGTCATTCGAAACTTTTCAAACGCCTTTCATTTTAAAATCGTGTTTGCTAATCGCTACGATTTCTCTTGACAAAAAAATGAGCACCACTAATTTTTTTAATGTGCTTGGAGTTCATTTTCAAGGTTTTTGAAAAAACGCGGAAAACCCAATTGGTTTTTAAATGAGGGTTGTGGAGTAACAGAAAGAAACTTTCTAAAATTGCCCAAAAATGTGTTTTTTGAATTTATTCCAGGAGCTTTATCAAAATTCCATCGACAGAAATCTTGTTGTTATACGTATTTGGTAAAATCGGCTAGAGAATTGACATATTCATGTTTTTGTTAAAAAAACGCGTTTTTTTTCAAAATAGGTATTTCAGTGTATTTCAGTATTTTAATTTTAGTGGTCGCCTGGTTTACAGGTTTTTGCCAATTAGTATACACAATAAATGTCGGAAAGTACTTGACAATTATGTCATCGTGAATCTTTAATAATTTTTGTAGTCAATTATGCCCGTTTTTAATTAACGGAATATCTACTAGATGTCGCTGTGTAAAGAAAATTGAGACATATGCTGTATATAAATATACTCAGTAGATTGCAAATTATGTACTCACCGAGTCACCGACTTCCGACCCTAATCGTAATCATAAATCATGTTATCATAAAAGGTACAAAGCAATAAATTAATAATTAACGTTGTAAAATAAACGCATTTTTATTAATATCGCGTGACGTAACTTATATCCTTAAATCTATGCCATAAGCATGTGTCTGTGTTTGTTTTAAATTTCGCTCGATATTACGAGATTTATTGCAGATGCAAAATGCCTGCGAGGAGTTGATACATCGTCAAATTTAGAAAAGTAAAGCCCTTGACTCTTAATTAAGTTACATTCTAACATTAATTAGTTTTTCCCAGCCGGTTCGCGGTGATCCACGCGTTTCACTTGAAGGGGCGTTCGTGAAATTTTTTAGGTTGACATTTGTGGTGTGTGAAAATTTGTAATTTTGCTCTTAATTTTCTTGGAATAAACTTGTCTTACCCGCATTTTGATATTTAAATATGTCGGTATGTAACACTAGACATCTAACCTACTGTCCTCATTTTGTAGATGCTGTAAGTCCCACATGAATTTGTCAAACCCCGCACTTGTGTAAGAAGGAATGCTGATCTATAGTGAATATTTATTGTACATGGGATGAACGAGGAGGATTTGATAAGAAGATCATCCGAAGAGCGGGAAAAAATATTCAGACGATATGAACGCGGACGAGAAGAGGGCGCCGAAATTGATCCGTGGGAGGATCCGTCGTTTGAGGTGTACCACGCGACAGATCGCTACGGATTTATTCACGATAAACGCCTGTCATCCAAAGTGGACCCGCAGGAAGCAAAAAGGAATCAGATCGAATTAGAACGTGTGAAAAAGTGGTTAAAAATGTTAAAATCGTGGAACAGTAGTGTGAGTAAAGAGAAATTACACAAACGTATATACAAGGGTATACCGAACTCGCTTCGGCCCCAAGTTTGGTGTAAACTGCTGAATTTGGAGAAGATTAAAAGTGAGAATAAGGGAACGTACGCGGAAATGACAAGATTGGCAAGGTTACATTCGACCGACGCTCGACAAATCGATTCAGATGTTAATAGACAATTTCGCGAACACATTATTTATAGGGAGAGGTATGGGATTAAGCAACAATCTCTATATAACGTTTTAACTGCGTATGCCATGTATAATTCTGAGGTAAACCACTTTGGCACGGTGAGTCAGGATACATCTGTTGTTTTTTTAGGTCGGTTATTGTCAAGGAATGTCCGGACTCGCCGGCGTTTTATTAATGTACATGGACGAGGAGGATGCATTTTGGGCAACCCACGTTTTACTGACGGGCCAGAAATACATGATGCACGGTTTGTACAAGGAAGGCTTCCCGAAGTTAACAAGATTTTTGGCCCATCACGATCGTATTTTACATAAGTTTATGCCCAAGTTAAAGAAACACTTCGACAAGCACGGGCTCGACTCAATCTTGTACTCGTTGAAATGGTTTTTTGTCTGTTTTGTCGAACGCGTAAGTTCATGCTGGTCGATTGAGGCAAGTTCGATGTGATACTTCCAGGTACCGTTCAGTTTATGCCTCAGAATTTGGGACATATACTTATTAGATGGGGAACGTGTGATAACCGCAATGGCTTTTACAATACTTAAATTGCATAAACGTAACATAACGAAACTTCACGATATGGACTCTATTGTGCACTTTATACAGGTATGTTTTTCTTCCTGTTCATCCTTATCTGCCATTTACTTTATCGGTTATCACTTTACCTGTCCATGAACTCGCTTCTTATTTTTCTTCAGTAGGTAGGTACGGTTTTTACCACTTTTTTTGCATTCTTACAATGTAATTAATAATAATATTTACAAACTTCCTAACAATACCAAACATGTAACAACGTATGACCATTGCATTTATAAACTGATAGTATGGCAACCATAGGAAAATAAAAAACCATTTAATAGTGAAGAATTTCCACAACAGAGGGCGTATAGGAATTCAGAATTAAACATTTTAATACAATTCACAAACCATTTTAATTTTATCATAGACCAAATACAATAGACTGTGCACGGCGTAATGAATCATTGGTCGCATAGATGGCGCACACATTAATTACGATGACCTCAGTAGCGTTTCAAATTTTATTTTGCGAATCGTGATGCTGTTTTCCGTTCATGCAAAAGCGTTGGTTACTCGCCTTATCATGTCAGCTACAGGAAATGTTTTTGCAGAGTCAAATTTCACAGTGTAGAAGCCACCGTTATATTTTTTCTACAACTGAACCGATTGCTTTTAAGTTCAACTTTGTCATGTGTGCGAAATACTTTTTTTCTACGAAAGTGTGGAAACACGATTGTTTTTGTAGGTAAATTGATTGTGAAAACAGGTCTTTGAAACACTAGTGCGGCAAAAATATTTTCTGCACGCATTTTCTACACGCTAATAAACATATGCGAAGTAACTCTTTGTAATTGTATTGCTTTATTCACAGTTTCGTTATATAAGACAAATGGTAGAATTTTCTTTGCCTTCTGCTACAGAAAACGTTCTTGGGACATGATTCTTGGAGTCAGGAATCGTTAGGTATCAATAAAATTGCATCTTGTTCTGTGAAATCCGTTACAGTCATTTTACAACGTTCGCTCCGAGGCTCCGACGGCAAGCTCCAGCCACTCCGAGAGCAACCTGTAATTAAATTATGCTTATTTATGATACAATAAGAAATTCACAAACCTTCATCATTACAAATGTTTCATCAGGCGCTTCTCTCAAAAACTTAGCGATTTGTTCTCTTATGAAAACGCTCCTTTCCGAAACGCTGCTTAGACTTTTGGGGTAGCAATTCATGCGAAACCGCATTAGCCATTTCCGCAACGTCCGGCGGGGTGCACATACCTTCTTCATCTTCAGTTTCGTCAAAATCCATCTTAACACTTCTTCACTACGCCACAAATTGTTTGACTTAAATTTACGATTTTTCAAACAATTATGTTTTGTCATGGCAACCGGCTTACTTGATCATTTACAATTGAAACATCCAACTACGATCAGACTACATGATTTTCTGCCGTTATCTGACTAGTTTAAATTTCTAATTTCTAGAGAAGAACTTTTCACTTTCGTAGAAAAAATAGTATGAAACACGCATGCCGAAACGGTCATTGAAAAACTCGTATAATAGGAACACTCGCTGGCGCTCGTGTTCCTACATTTATACTCGTTTTTCAATAATACCGTTTCTGCACTTGTATTTCAATGTACTATTTTCATTGTTGACGGTTTCGCGCACGTTGTCAAGAGCAACCTTACTTATTAATTAACCGTTTAAAAATCTAGTACTTCGCGTTTCGAAATTCGTCAGAAAATGACAGGTTTTTTTTGACAGTTTTAGAAAAATAGGTTTTTTATAATAAAATAAAACAAAATGGGAAAGTGTAAATTTCAAACTGAGTGGTTGAAGAAGCTAGATATTATCTTGGGGTCGAAAATTTAACGACGAGAAGGTGTTTTGCGTTGCGGTAATAGTATTTTAAGAATGCATCCATTTTATGTTGTTACGTTGTTTAAAATGTTATTAAAATTGCAACGTCTATGCAGTTACGTTTTAACGGTTACTTTTTTTTTAGATATATTGCCGTTTATGTATCTCATCATTCTCATCTATTACAAAATAAATATTTTTTGCTTAATTTTGTATGGAAATTGGTTCTCGAAGGTCTCGAAATGGTCTCTATTTTTAAATATGTAAATAGAGACCAAGTCTCTATTTTTTTCCTAAAATCAGTTGCGAACCCTGTTTTCAACGAAAACTGTTGATAAGTACTGCTCCAGTTTGCCAATTTTTTTCCAATAATATGTTTTAAAGGTTTTCATTAAACTAAACTGCCCGCATGTAATAACACATCAACAATGTTTGGAGCACGTAAAATTTTTATTGATCAATCTAATAACTTTACGTAATTATTACAGTTCAGTTCAGCGTTACGACAGCCTCATCGTCGAATTCATCCTAAAATTTTGATCGTCAAAAATGTGTAAATAATTTATTTGTTTGTATTAGCCTCTATAAGTGATTGTGAAATTTAATTTTACTTTATTTGCAAAAATTTATGTATTGGACTTTGGTATTTACATGGCGTTATTTTATATCCTGTTTAAATGCTATAGAAAAAATAATAAACTCCATCTATACGTATTGGTCCACATTAAAACCGGTGCTCTGTCTATTGTATTTGGTCTATGATTTTATTAAAAAATGATTTCCGTAATTCATTGTTGTACAAAAAATCACATTGTATTTATATACAATGGCATTGAAATAAAACAAAATTATGAAGGAACTGGTAATGAATTCCATGTGACTTGATACACTGCAAAACATTAGATTAAGTTTTTAAATGAGATGATATTTACCTTGAAAAAGAGAGAAAACATTTTGTTATTCAGTGATTATGATAATTCCTTGTACACATTATACCATTAACTTTATTTTCGTCTAGAAAAGGGTTTCGGCTTGGATATAGTTCCATTTGAAATACATGGTATTGTAAAATAGTTAAAGTTAAAGAATGTCAACACTTCAACAATCAAATAAGTCATTTCTTTAATGAAGAATTTTTCAAAAAAGTTATGTGAAAATGTGCATTTTTTGATATCACCTCGCTAGTTTCCGCAATAATCGATTGTCTCAAGATAAACGGGACACCCCTTCCCGTATTTAAATTAATTAAGTGACATTCAAATATAAGATTACTACACTGGTAATTGCAAAGATTACCGCAACTCATAAAAGAAATGACCACTACACCCCAATTAGTTTAGCTTATGCAGGTCCAGTTAAACCCCAATAAATCATCCCCTGAAACTGATATCTTGTATCTGAAAATGCTTGTTTCAAAAGTATTGTATATTCCATATCTTTGTTATACTCCGCCAAAAATGAAATTTACCCATTATTAAATGTATAATAGTTCGCACTATACTCTATTCATTTTAAGAAGGTAGCGGTAGAAAGCATAAGGAAGCTTTGACCTTCACTGTGATTGGTTAAACCACGAGTCTGTATTACGCCGACAAATAAAATGGGTGACCAATTTTGTTATATTAAGTAGTTCCGGTTACGAACTAAACTGTCGAACTGACAGATGTTAATTTTAATGATCCAAACGTGAAATCTGTTGATTTATTTTCATATGTTTCAAATTTGGTGCCACTTTATATTTATCCCGTGTGTGTCTATCTTTAAACACAGCGCCATCTACTACCTTCTTATAATGAATGCAGTATAGTTGAAAATTTTGTATGATACGTTTACGTCTGGGTTCGCGCCACATCCCGGACCAACTGCTGACGCACCGCGGGCTAACTGCCAAAATTAGGCGGCATATGTCAAAGAAAAAAAGTTCCCACGGTCCCCAGAGTTTTCCCACGTACAACGTAGATTTTTGGAGTACGCAGTGTGACCATCTAGTAGCAGCATTGTATTCTCCTTCGAAAGAGAGAGAGAGAGAGAGAGAGAGAGAGAGAGAGAGAGAGATAGAGAGAGAGAGAGAGAGAGAGATCTTTGTTTATAGTAAGAAGTAAAAAAATGTGGTATTGTTTGCGCGTTTTGTCCGTCCGTCTATCCCATTTCTGCGGTTTTGAACTACTTTTAGAGGACGAATGGTCCTAGAGTTCTGGCATTTTTTGCAATAGGAAGCCTATATCTTGAAGGTGTGCTAGAAGGCCATATCCCCCCCATGAATTATACCATTAGATGCTGTTTTTGTATGTACAACGTGCACAACTTTTACATTACTGGTCTCAGAATTTGCATACGCATGCCTTTAATGGTGCCAAGTACATTTTTTTTTAAATGGGAGGTGACGGGGGGTTAACACACGATGGTATTCTAATATGAAACATTTCACCGACATAAATTGGTTTGTACAAACTACAACTTTTCTGCGCGACACCTTTCCAGGATAAGTAGGTGGCCGGGTGGAGGAGGGAGGGAGTAGAAATTAAGTTTATCTTTCATGGTACTTCCAATTAAAGGTCTCGACAAAAAAAAACTGTTTTCTATCAACTATCGCCCTACTTTATAATAATAATTATTATTATAATAAATAATTCGTTATATCTCAAGAACAGATTGTCGGAGGATGGTACTCACAAATGGCGATTGGGACGCCTAGAAGAAATATATCAATTGATGATGTCAAAACTTTATGAGCGGTTTTAAAAAAAAAACCCTTTATCTGCACTTATTGGTTCCCTTTTTGTACATACAGTGAAAAAACCCCACTTTTCCAACATTATACACTGTCTTCAGATAAGGATGTCTATCATGGGGATCTCCAAAACCATAGAAGAGGCGACGATATTCCGATTACTTCCGAAGGTATGCCAGAAAAATCGAAATTTGCCGTAGTAGGTAGCCTATACCTTGAAGGTGTGCCAGACGGCCATCAAATTTCGCTATCTAAAAGGGGGCCCTCTCCCACGAATTATTTCTTGAGATGCTGTTTTTGAAAGTAAAACGTGCATAACTTTTACATACGACAAGCAATTCGTCTCACATTTTGCATACGCATGCCTTTAGTGGTGCCAAGTTAAACTGTAAATGGGGGGGGGGGCGTGAGGCCCGGGGGGGGGTTAAAATTAATTTTGTCTCATTGTATTCTAATTCAAAGTCTCAACGAAAGGAACGGTTTTCTACCAACTACTGCTCTTCTTTCTGTCCTCTTACTAAAGTACGGGGTGGAGAAGAAGGGGCGTGAGTGGAACTAGTTTTATCTTCATGGTACTCTAATGAAAGATCTCAACGAAAGGAATTAATTTCTACCAACCATAGCCCTCCTCTTATCGTGATCGGGTATATTCCCTTATACCCCAAGAACGGATTGTCGGAAGAGGGTACTCACAAAGGGCAATTGAGACGTCTGCAAGAAATATCTCCATTGATGATTTCAAGACAAAAGTTATTTCGGTTAAAAAAAATGCGCTTTATCTGTACAAGAGTTGGGTACAATTTATTTTATTATGTTACTTGAACAGATATAAAAAAATAAAAAAACACTTTCTCTACGATTGGGGTTTTACGAGACACTGTTGAGAGATTTTCAATGCACTGTTTCATACATAAAATGAAAATTAAACCAAAGTGAGTGAAATAAAGAGAAGCTTATAAAGATTGTTTTTACATAGTACCTCGTACGCAGACGGTCGATTATTAAAAATACGTAAATTTTAAAATTATTTTCAGTTTTTTTAATCTTTTAATAAAGCTCTGCTCTGACGGTAGAGGCTTCTAACTTCATTAAACAGACAACTGCTTTGTTAACTCCCACTCGTTTCTAACTTTGGGAATACGGACAAACGATTTTTAAAAAATTTTCCACAAACTTCAGTTAACTTTCTTCGGTACAGAAGTATTATAATATCAACAAACGCCTTCAGTTAATCAAATACGGTGAACTACTGGAAAAAAAACCGTAAAGAGACGTGCACTCTTTTCCAACCGTCGTGAACCAGCACCTTTTATTTGTTGCCTCTAGTATTTAACGAAACACCACCTCCACGGAACAATAATCTCATTCTTTCGGTATTTTCAAGTAAAGCGCTAATTACAATTAGATTAGACAAACTTCAAAAGAACGCACTTGAAGCCCCCTCTTCTTTCTTACCAGACGCGCAATTGTCCGTAACATACTTGCATTACCTTATCTGAGTCAGATGTGCATTTTAGTTGAAAGTAATTCGCTTTCGCCTGATATCAAAGCATTCTTATCGCAAACACTTAAATAAAAATACCCAAACTTCAGCAGATATTTTTTTTACTTAATACAAATGATAGAATTCTGGGATTATTCATAAATATCCCCCTGATTTACGAGTGCCTATAAAGAGTAGCGTTAACCTGGGAGTGCGTTATTGAGCTGTTCCTTCTCCTGAAAATGTTGAAATGTTAGTTCAGTCATGATTCGGCGTGTGGCACAATGGTTTAGGGGACTTGCACCAGGCGGCGTTGATTAGTTTGTTTGGTACGAAAAAAAATTTTTCCTCAAAAATACGTACCCAATTCAGCGGAGATTGTCTTTTCAAATTTTTTTAAAATGGAAATTTACACCAAACAACAAAATCCACACATAATGCGCATGCCCACGTGAACGTTCTTACTCTCTGTAAGCTCTCATTAAAAAATATCTCAAATACAAGGTGTCCCGTCATTCGTTTTGGTGTCTAAACACAACACAAGATTACTTGAAATTTGCCTTGTGCCCCCTTTATCAGTTTGTGAAGAAAGTAATTGAATAATTTTTGGGTACAGCTTTTTAATAAAATAATTATATGTACCCAGGGCCAGATTAAGCATGGCGCCATGTGGGTCCGGGCTCATAGCGGCGAAAAACCAAATTTGGGAAATAATTCTACAGTACTATCGTAGAAAAATAACATAACCTCTTAAGAAATTGAAGTTGGAATGTTACTTTGTATTAAGATCGTGAAAAATTTAGGGCTTCTCCCGCAAATTTTTTTGTTGAAAACGCATAATTAAGGTGCCCTCTAGCCATTTTTATTAATTTCATGCTTAATAACATCACGTAACCGTTACATTTTCTAAAACATGATTCAGTGGTTACATTTATATGTTTGTATATTGGATTTCAGTGTTTAAACTGTAAAATAAACTTGAAATACGGTATTGAGATTGATGTAATAACACTAATAACGTAAATATAGTCTTGATGTAATAATGAGGAAATGTTAATAAAAAAGGAGTATATTTCTCTAAAAATTAAACAGTTATTTGTTTGTGATTCAAACGACACAAAAATAAGGTCTCTAGAATAATTTAATAAAAAGACGGAAAACATTTTGTTTTTTAAACGTTGCTTGAAGTCGAGCTTGAAGTGCTCTAAAACGTCAACATTTGATGAATTTTATCATGTCCAAAAAACGGCGATCGCAAAAAATTGAAACTTTTACCCCTCCCTTCTTCACAATGCTTTTCTGGCCCAAATTACTTGGTTACTTATGGAGCGAATCATTTTAATGATATATTTTTAGGTGAAACTGTACAAAGACTTCATGTACGACGACGATACTGTGATACAATCGCTAGAAAAAACAATCGACGAATTGAAAAGGTCCAAACTGGATCATCCCGGTCCGCCGTTAAAAGACGAGATACCAAGTCGACCGTTTGGCGTTCTAATGCAGCCGTCTTTCGAACAGATCGTCGGACGTCGCGCCGAGAAATTCACCGAAAAGGAGCAGACGACCAACGAGATCGTTACGATGAGACGGGAGGAGGCTAGGGACGCTTTGGAGAAAGAGAGTAGAGAGTCCCAGCTATCGGTTGGAGACTCGTGCGGATTGGCAGGTACGGACGCGGATACTGTTTCTATCTGTGATAGTATTTGTACTATTGATAGCAGCAGTAGATGTGATAGTACTGCTAGTAGTTCAGTTGAATGTACACGTTTATGATTATTGCATTGTTTGAGTTGGAGCACTGCCACGAATGTCTGTCGGAAGTTTGTATATATTCATTTGAATGTTGATTGCCTTGGTGACGAAAACGAGCTCGAGTCAAAATTGTTTTGGGGAATATACAAAGTCTTAATTACGATAGTACATAAGTTCATATTTATTAACTCTCTGCTTTCTTGTGTCAATTGTACTTAATGTATGCATGCTTTGTTGCATGTCATGTGATTTACTCTAATCTGAATATGTTAATTTTTTTTGGTTTGTGTACAGAGAACACAATGCGAATATATTTTTGTAAATAGACTGGTTTTGGTTAATCATGCTACTCGCCTATTATCCTCTTTACTCATCACATTTACAACTCTCTGAAAGTGGGTGTTGGCTTAGTGTCGACACACATTCAGCTCGCCAATGGCCGGCCGGTCAGTTTTCACTACACACATACAACCGGCCAGTTAAGAATTGTGAAAATCACATTGTAAGTATTGCTTGGCCGGCGGGAATAATTTTGATCAATGATAATGGCCGGCCTGGACTGACAGTCTACAGACTGCCGGCGAACTGAACGTGAGTGTCGAGCTTTAAACTAGCGATAAGAATCAAATTACTTTCGCATTCTAGAGGGAGCAAGTGATTTACTAAGCCTTCAAGAATTCATATGGGAAGACTATTGTGTCGGTAAGAGTAACCACAGAATAGTAGGCTATAGTAGGATTTTCCTTAGTTTGCGCGTAAATTATGACGTCATCACTAAGTATGTTTACATAGCATCATGCAATCAATGGAACAGAATACGTATGTAGGCAGACATACAGACAGTACTTCATTGTGGGACTTCTATTGACCAATTACTAAAAAAATGTTTCGGTAGTCATTTGTAGCAGGTTGTTTATGTCGTGATCTTTTACTAACAAGGTGAACATTATTATGGACGTAAAGAAAAAACTTTTCATAATAACAAACGCCCACTGTAATTAGCAGCTGAAATCGAGAAGCGACTGCAATCTTTACTTGTCCCATACTCACGAGCAGAGGTACCGTTACTTTTATCTCAAGGCGCCGGGACTTTCGAACCTGGCTAGCAGTCGGTTTTCAAATTGGCGGTTCTTTTTATACACAAATTGTGAAAGGAAATTGAATAAAAACTCATAATTTTGTGCGTAAGAAAAGACGGGAACATATAAAATATCTTAAATAAACAACGAGGCGATGTCAGAGAAACCTTCTTTGGGACAAAAACCCTGACATAGCCTATACACAAATACCCGAACTAATTTAACAAAGACAACAAAAACAAAAGAAAATCCGCAAAACATTTCAAATTGTATAACAGTAAACATTTGAATTTGAAGATTGTAGGAACGTAGTATTTTTTCCAAAAAGATCAACGTGTGTCGTTCCAGCTGGTTGCTGAGCAAAGGCGATAAACTTTTCCCGTTTTCGTCCTAGTATACATCAAACGACAGCCTTTTTACCGAAAACGCACACCTTTCGGATCCCTCCATGAGTTTTAGAACAGTGCATGGAATTTAAGGAAACAAACAACCATCAAATCACCAGCAATTCCACTTTTAATGCATCATTTGGAAACTCAACTTTTCTGTGCTGTAGCCATTCCTGTAATCTAGGAAGAATTTGACAAGTTCCCCGGTAAGCTACTATGCTAACTAGCATTGTCCATAATAATCAGCGGTGGTTGTCTAAATTTGGTAGCAAATGGTACCCGAATCACTTAAAAAACTGTCCTTGTTTATTTCCCTATGGTAATCTGGATCATTTGTTTTTAAAGCAATAAGTAAAAATGTTCTAGTAATAAAACCATGTTTCCAGCATGTAAATGTACATATTTTAAATAGTTCTCAATCATCAGTACAGGTATATTACCTATGTCTCTTGGGATTCGTACGCTTCTTGGACTGTTGTCTAGACATTACTAATTATACAGAGATATTCATATAGAAGTAGACATAGGAATTTCCTACCTTTACATGATAAAAAGTCTTATAAAGGACGCCTAACTTTATGCAACCAAAATAACTACCTACAACAAATGAAGATCTGCCTGTCATATTAATTAATTTGAATATTATCGCTCTGATTTCCGTATTCTAATTTTCGTTCGTGTGCGATGTATTTAACTAAAGAAACAGTTGATATTTCCAACTGGTATAGTGCCGGTAACAGTTAAGGGAACTTAAGAGATTTATTTTCTGTGAAGCCAAAGCAACAATATTCAAATTAATAATTAATATGGCAGCCAGATCTTGATTTGCTTGAAGAAGTTATTTTGGTTGCATAAAATTAGGCGTCTTTCAGAAGACGTTTTATCATTTGAAAGTAGACATTGGAAATTCCTATGAATATCACTGTAAATTGTTCCATTTTCAAATATCCACGTGTCATCCAAAAAGACACATTTGCGCCCAGTCTCAGATTGCATATTTTTTACCCAAAATCGTCATGAGACTTTCATATTCATGCCTACTTTATGTCAGGAAATTTTAGTTTCCATAACAGAGGCTGACCAGACTACTTTTATTTTAAAATATGTTTTCGGATAAAATTTAATACAAAACTCGTCAGTAAAATTACATTACATGACTCGGAAATTAAAGTACTCGCTCCTGAAGAGACCTCGTTCATGGTCATGTATTGCGTTGCACCGGAATCTGCAATCCAAACATTGGGGGAATCCACAGATTTGACGATATCCGATTCTTACAATCCCCCTTATAATGGCCTAACTCACCACATTTGTAACATTTTGGGACAAACAACACACAACCTCTCCCTAAGATTATCAAACAAGGTACAAAGCATGAATAAATTTTTGGTATTCGGGAGGCATGGTGTTCAAAACCCGATCCAGGAACAGTGAATTTGTCAATTTACCCTTGTCCTCCTTTCAAATCTCGTCTTTAATTGCAATTGCAATGGGTTTTGCAATCGAATCCGAATTCCTTTTGTCTTATAATAAAAAACTGATTGAAAAGGCGATCGAGCCTTTCTTCCGATCTCTGCCCCTAAACTGAATGCAATTTGTCCGACATTTCCTTGCTAGTCGTAGACATATTTATCAATTGTCTTATCTGAGTTGACAAACTCAAGACAATATTCTGAGCTATAAATTCAAGTTTCTTGAAGGCTTCCTTCTCCTTATCATACAATCTGCTAACCTTGGGCGTTGCATCTGCAGTCAGTACCGTAGATTACATTGCATTACCTTCCAGTTCTTTGACTTTCGAATTTCCAATCGACCCAATTGGAATGTACCGCCTGCCCACTATGCACACGACCCACTTCCGGTTACGATCGTTCAAGACAACAATAGTGGGTCCATAACCTGATGACATCTGTGGTTAAATAAATAAAGAAGTTTTGCACGAAGTCATTAATTTACCATCAACCATAAAGAAACGCCTCACGTATGCGACTATTGCACATTAAACACAACACTCAAACTACTTCTCCGTAAATGTGGCACAACGCGTGTGCTTAACTCGGACTAGAACGTTCACTTTTATAACGATAAATTAAAATCTCTTGAACTGTCTACTATTTTACAATCGCCACGACTGACTGCATTTCTCTAAAAAAAGTCTTTCCTATTTAAAACTATTCCTCTTGATCCTCCTTCTTTATTATTTGGTCAACGTTCATTAATGAAATTCCCTCTAGCCACCAGAAACACTTATATAAACTACCACCCGTGTTTACTTCGGCGAACGCCTCCTTATCTTCAAATTAATTAACTTTTACGGAGCGATAACGAACTCCTTATCTCAGTGAGGAAAAACACTTGACGCAATTATTTCCAGATGTCCCTAATCTTTCTAAACGTAATTTAACTGAACAATTAATCAATCAAAGGCGATTATTTAAACAAAACTAATACAAATTCAAATAATATGATTGAATCTGTGTTCAATCCAAATTAACAACCACATTTAACCTTAAAGGATAATTGAAATTAAATCATACAGGATGACCCATCATTACTATAGGTGCTCATGCCAATAAAAACACTCATGTGAAGTTGGCCCCGCCCACATGAAATAATTTGACAAAAATGTGTCGACAGTTAGTGCTCGAAGCTTATCGTTAGTGCTGCTACAGAATATGAGAAAAATATAAAAACCGGGGCGGGGCCAACTTCACACTCAACTTTTATTTATCGAAATAACGGACGCACACGGCGTTAGTGCGATTAAATGCAAGACAAACGGTATATCATAAGTGTGAATTTAGCCCCCCCCCCCCATACATTTTTAATTAGATGAAACCACATGTGATTGTTAGTGCTAGGTTAGTGCTGTTTTGTGCTCGAATATTGCGAGTGTAATGTTTTACCTTTCCAAGAAAAACTAAAAAACTAAAATATTGTGTGAAGTTGGCCCCACCCATGGCTCGTTTAAAAAAAAACTATTACGATCGTTAGCGCTCACAGATTACGATTCCAAGGTTCTTCGTTTCCGAGAAAAAAAAGAGCACTAACGATCGTATGTTCGTTTCTTTAAAAAACGAGTCATGGGTGGGGCCAACTTCACACAATATTTTGTTTTTTTTTTGGAAAGGTAAAATGTTAGACTCGCAATATTCGAGCACAAAAGAGCACTAACGATCGTAATGGTTTTTTTTAAAAAACGAGCCATGGGTGGAGCCAACTTCACACAATATTTTGTTTTTTTTAGTTTTTCTTGGAAAGGTAAAATGTTAGATTCACAATATTCGAGCACAAAAGAGCACTAACGTACCACTAACGATCGTATTAGGTTTCTTTTTAAAAAACGATCCATGGGTGGAGCCAACTTCACACAATATTTTGGTTTTTTTAAGTTTTTTTTGGAAAGGTAAAACGTTAGACTCACAATATTCGAGCACTAACGTAGCACTAACGATCGTATGTGCGTTTCTTTAAGAAAACGAGTCATGGCTTCTCACTATATTTTAGTTGTTTTCGTTTTTCTTGGAAAGGTAAAACGTTAGACCCGCAATATTCGACCACAAAACAGCACTAACGTAGCATTAACGATCGCATTAGTTTTTTTTTAAAACGAGTCACGGGTGGGGCCAACTTCACACAATATTTAAGTTTTTTTGGTTTTTCTTGGAAAGATGAAATGCTAGAATCGCAATATTCGAGCACAAAACAGCACTAACCTAGCACTAACAATTACATGTGGTTTCATTTAATTAAAATATAGCGTGGCTAACCTCACACTTGGCTTTTTTAGGAACAGCCAAAGAATTTGAGACACTGTTTATCTTGCATTTAACAGCACTAACGTAGCACTAACTGTCGACACATTTTTGTCAAATTATTTCAACTTCACGTGGGTAATAAAAACGTAGTTCACATAACAGTATATAGATTTTAATACTCGTTTCCTACCTCTTTCGCTTGAGTAAATTTTGTTTAGATGGCACTCTTTGGTAAGCACTGTAAGTTTTCTGATGGTCATTGAAGTATACACTGCATCAACAACAAAAACGCTTTTCTTCACCAGTGAACACAGAAATGCGGATGACGGACTGTTCCACTATTTATTTTCTTCATATTTTCTAAGCTCTTTTGAGATTCATGTACCCGTTGTGTCCGAATATCTGTCTGTTGTTCCTTGTAACTCCAGAAGGACAAGAGCAATTTCAAACATCTCAGTTAATTCTGATATAATGGTTTGTATCTTGATCTAACCTTTCTCATTTTAAATACTGTGAGATTGCTGTACAATAAGATTCACGTCCTTTTCCCAGACTTTAGGAATATGCAGTAGTAATCTCCATTGACTCGACGAATTTTCGTTATAAACAATGCGCATGTAGCAACAAATTAAGAAATTAAACCTAACGCTATGCTGCCACCACCTGCACATAGTTATTGTCCTTAAAGAGTTTTGTCTAGAAAACGGATTTGATCTATCTCTACGAACTACATATCTGTTTATTGTAGTTTTGCCGGCTGTCAGCATATAAACAAAGTAAGGTATAAGATCTAGCTTTGGACATTGAATGTACTATACTTACTGCATGATAACTGTTGCATGTTTTCAGGCCCATCATGGAACGCCTATTACATGTACTCACACGATGATCCCAAAAACCCTGTCGCAACAGTCCTGATTTATCCCCCAAACTGGAAGCCGAAAAATAACGCACCTGCAAACTTGTACATAGCACCCATTGTCACTTATACGCACTCTCGCTTGTAACTACCTACCTATAATTATACACAGTGTTTAAGAAGGTCGTAAAATACATTGATATATTACAGGCTCCAAGTTTTCCTTCGATCCCAGTATCGACGACGCAAGCTCATTGCTAGACTGCCAACATACCGGCTCGCGACGCTCCCTAGCGGACACCAGCGTAACCTCGACCGCCGACCTCTCAGTATTCTCGACCATCACACGTTCTCAGGCGCACGAAAATAGCCTGGACACGCATAGCAATATATCCGAGAGTTCGGTAGGCGCGATCAGTTCGGTCGGTTCGGGAATAATGCAATCAGGTAGTATACAAAAGCAACCTCTCAGTTCGCACTCGACACCGAGAGCGACGCCTCACAATCCCAGTCCGGACGTCGTGCGAATCTACGTACCTTACTCCCCCACCGACACGCCGACGGTCAGTCCGCAAAACGGCGATGTTATACATAAGTCGCCGCCGACCTCCTTTCCCGAAGGGAATAAGATAAGGATAAGGATCGACAATGATGATTTTCCCACTCCCCTAGTCGAACACGGGAAAATCAAGCATTTCAGAATCGAACATCACGAAATTGATTTGAAGTAGCATTATTTCTTTTTGTGTCGATATTGTCTAGGGCTGTGTTGTCCGAACGCATTTATTTTTTTTCTCATTAACGCTTTGGTCAAAGACAGTTGTAAAATACAAGTGCTCAAGCGGCGATTTTGCAAATTTGCTTTTGAGAAAACCCCATATCTTATTATGTTTGAGCAAAACGGTTGTTCTTCCATATCGCATGCAAAATTGAAACATTGCCAAAAGTGATAAACATTGGTATGCGAGTATACTTCGACTAGTTTTAAATTGGTAAGTGGAATTAAACGTCAAGTCTCTGTACGTAATTTGACAATAGCCATATCGGGACTTATATTTTTAGATCGTACTTGGCAATTTTTCATCGATTTCTCTAGTCTATTTGGAAGATTACTATCGTCAATTCGGTTTTCTTGCAAGAAAACTTTGTTTTTGATACTTCTATTATTCCAAGATGGTCAGATGTATATTTTTTGACATAAGACGACGGTATTATTTATTAAATTCATTCCACCTTAGTATTATATTTATTTTTGCAATCTAATAACAGAGGCAGAATATCTCTGCAAACATATGAATAAAGTTGTATATCTGTGTAAATGTAAGTAACACTTTTAGTAATGAAATCATTAAATAGTGCCATACAATTTAGATATTTTAGGTGAAAATATATGGGAATATAATGCAAGCGCTCTATAGAGATTTCTCTTATAATTTATAGAATTTTATAGTCATAGGTTGACGACAATGTAAAATAGAATCTCCTGTAAATACTGAAAAATTTATAAAGTTTAATATATTTTAAAAGATTAAGCTTACTATACATGTAAAGCAGTATTTAATGATCTAATCTTAATTCGATGTTAACATTACTTTTATTTATTAAAGACTTGTATGATTTTGTAAAGGTATTAAACAAATTTGAATATAGGTAACAGGACTGTCCATTGGTATAAGGTTTTAGAAATTTGGGAAAATGTTTAAGTGATACAATTGCAATAAACATTCTTATTTCATTATAAGTTGATATTACTTCTTTATAAATAAAGTGATTCACTTATGTATGGCTCTCTTTGTTAAAGTTTGTGTATGAATGTGACAAATCCATATTCAAAACCTTTTTCGTTCAAAATTTAGGTAGTCACATGCTTCAATGTCTCATTTGAACATTTATTATATTCTAGTGAAAATAGGACTTGAACTTGCAGAAGGTCAAGGAGTTTGAAACTTGGTAGATTACTATATTTTGGGGTCCTAAATAATACCCTGAGTTTGCGACCTTGAACAACCGCCGCCATATTGGAAAAAAGGTACGAAAATTCAGTTTTTCGATTATTTCTCGGTTCCAGTGCCACCTACGGTAAAAGTTAGAGCAAAAATTTCGTATGACTTTCGTATTTAAAGTTTTTTAATCGAATGAATATTTTACGAGCCACACCCGAGTAAAAGTCAAGACATTTTTTTAATACGAAACACGAAACAAATGAACATCTGACGCTCATATTTGGAGAAAATAGTATTGCGATTTTGCAAATTAAAAAAATGTCCTGACTTACTCGGCTGTAGCCCTGAAAATATTCAAGCGATAAAAAAACTTTAAATACAAAAATTATAGGAAATTTTGTGCTCTATAACTTTTGTAATAACTACTTTTAACGTAGGTGGCGCTAGAACGGAAAAAAGAAAAAGAATTTTCGTACCTATTTTCCAATATGGCGGCGGTTGTTCAAGGTCGCAAACTTAAGATATTATTCCGGACCAAGTTTCAAAACTCCTTGACCTTTTGCAGCAAAACCCTCATTTTTGCCTATTTTGACTGGCCTACCTATTAGGAGTGAAAACAAAATTAGATTCCATGACTACCCTTAAAAAACATTCCATTTCTGGTGATTTGCTAAATAGTCGAAAGTTGTATATAAATCACACCCGCCTCGTTTTTTGATGGGAATAGTGTCATTGACAACAATTTTCTCACTCCCTTGGTCAAACTGAAATTGATTTGAAGTAGCACTTTCTTTTATTCTCATTAACGCTTTGAACAAAGAGAGATACAAGATAAAAAACAGTTGTAATTTCACATCACATACAAAATTCAAATTGATCATAGAAATATTAGGATATATAGTGTGTCTTCCGATTGGTTGTCTTGTAAAATTTTTGAATTGAATGTTGAGCTTCTGAGTATCAGTCCTGCTTTGTTGGAAACTAGTTTGTGACAATTTTAGAAAAATCAAGGGTGCCTTTGAAATTTCCAAAAAACGTTTTTTGCATACCAGTAAAGTGCTTCAAACGTTAAACTCGCAGAGGAACGACGACATTATAATACCTTATTGATGCTTGACTGCAGCCGTCTGAATTCAGAAGGGCGCTGTCTGCCAAAATTTGGAATCAGATAAAACACGATAACAAAATGAGAGGTGTATGAATGGTGCGAGAATAACAGTAACGTTTGTCACGTCGAGCAACTCGAATACTAAAATTGTAATTAATATTCAACGAAAAGCAATCGTTGAAATGACTGGAAACTAGCAAAAGCTGTGCCAGCCTTTGAGTGATGTAGGTTAATTTGCACTAGCTTGGCCTAGCTTACCCAATGCCTGCGAGTCCCAGGCCGTTAAGGCTTATTCTTTGCTCCACTTCCATTTCTTTTGACGCCTTCTTTATCATCATCATCGGCTTATTTGAATATGACCCCGGAAAAGTGGACAATGCACAGAAAGTGTGATTCATGAGAACAACTGTTACCTATTGCCTTTGTCAAGTTGATCGATTCCGTTGAGGGTCCAGATCTTAATGCACCGTGATCCCTCTTCGGTAAACTTAACCTCCGAGTGTTGATGGATAAATACCATCCGGAAGTTTGTAACAGTCGCATCGCAGCATCGCTTGGTCTTGGTTCCTGTATGCGTCCCAACTGCCTATTCAATCGCTTACTTCTAAGTTGCCGAAGGCAACATAATTCCCAATAAGTGATTTCAATTAAAACTAAGGACATTACCTTTTTGAAATGGCTAATGGCACAAATCATACAAAAAATTGAACTATACTGACTGGATGCAGAAAGCAAAGTGACGCTAACATTCAAAATGAACTGACCAAAAGTGCAAAATCGGCAAAACTTATTCAAGACACCATTTCCTTCGTATACAGACAAACATTGTTTAACATTACTGATATCGAAATCGAAACCTCGAACGAGGGGCGAGTTATCTATCTCGGGGGCAAGATTATGCTAACACTGCTCTCACACAACGATCTCAAAATACTTAAAAAGTACGTATATTTACAATGTACATATCAAAATAAAATTAAAATTACCTTACGCTATAGGTACATATATTTTACCATAAAGTAAACAACATTATTTTACTGATCAATTAAGCATAGTATGACGATCATAAATATTACGTCGTTGTTCTTTAACCTGCCGCTTCCATTTGTCTTGTTGATGCCCAACTCTATTCAATACATTTCCTCGTACACTCATATCATGAGACATAGGACCCTCTACACCTGCTGCCGTTTCATCCTATACAGACTAGATAGCAACGATTCGATACATTAATTAGATTACCTCTTCATTTGTATGTTCTTGATAATTTCCTTTGGCGCGTTTTTTAAGTAGTGGCTCCAAGATAATCAAGAAAGCCATATATATTACCAGAATCGAAATAACCCATATAAGGATTATGACCACAACTCTAATAATGGTAACGTTACGATGCTCATATTTACATTCGCAACGGAGGCAGAACTCATTCTCTCGTCCCTTGATCTTGTCACCAAGCTTTGGCACAATGACACCATCGCAGTTACTAAAATTGACCAGTAAATTTATCGTTGCATCTATCAGTCATCTACCATTTATTTGGTGGGACATTTGCGATGTGAAAATTACGAATGTTCAACGTGACAGCCGTACTGTTTGTTACCAGCGCAATACTGGGGCACCCACAAATACATCGAGTATTTTCATATGCTTGACCCTACAAGAAAACGTTACTTTTACTTGTAAGTTGTAATTACCTTGACTTTACGTGAACGAGAACGATTGACACGACCAAGGGCAAAAAAACTGTAAACATTGGCGACGACATTTAAACGCTGATAAGGTATAAATTGCGTCAAATGAATGAAATATTAGAGTTATTGCGCATTATGCATACTGCCGCGCATTATTAAAGTTAGCACTATATTTTAATATGGTTAGAAATATGGGAGTTATTGTACATGCTTTCGTTTATAATTCTCTTATTTTTATCTGCTTATTTAACCTGTGATAACCCCAAATACAATATTGAGTTTGGTTTTGTATAATATATGTAAGTCAATAAATTGAATTTAATATAAAGTATTTTAAGTCGCCAATGAGTGTAGATAAGCTATATATAGTTGGAGGTAATTGTGGGTACATATTAATTAGGTAAGCATTTGTTTTGTTCAGGTTTCGTAAGATTTGCAAAGTAACCTCCATCAATTTGCTTATGGTACGTGCTTACTTTGATTTTAATTAAGTGAACTTAGGGTTTTAACAGCAAACAGAAACTTGAATTAATTGTCTTTAACCCTTTTACCGGTAACCGTTTTGATCATAATAATGTTATGAACACCACGTATATAAACAAATTATATGCACAACTTCGATTAATACACTGGTTATTACATAACGTGCCACAACACATTTGGCGCAACGAAATGTTTTGCACTCGGACTCTAACGCTTTCGTTGCGAATTACTGTCACAATATTTACGTTTGAAAATTATATTAGCCCTCCGATCGCCTCTTTAAAATGGTCGTTCACCGAATAAAAATAGAATTAGGCTGGGGAAAAAAGGAACTTACCAATAAAAAAACCAGCCGTCAAATTTATATCAAATTGTGTTGTAAAATTAATTGTTTGTAATGATGTGAATGTGTAACATAAAATTATATCATCACAAAAGTAGCAGGTAAACTTCAAGAGGTAACAAATAGATTAAAAACAAGTTTTGGGAGTTATGGGTCAAGTAAGCAGGTACCACGATTCTAAGAAAGGGTGTAATACACCGGATGTAACTCATCTTTGGTGCAATAAAGTCCTTTTGTTAAACGCTAGATGGAAAGTTACATGGCCTTGTAGGCAAATTTAACTAAAAACAAGATATGGGGAAATTTCGAATCGTAACTTATTTATCACACATAGATTCTAAACTGAAGAGCTTTCATTAGCGTAATCCCGCTCCGGCAAGATAGGTAACCCGTCCCTTGTTTCGGGGTTTCGAGCCTACAGATGAATGTCGAAGAGAATCACGGAATTAGGTGTCCTAGCACAATTTTGACTACAGTTTTTACCACCCCATGTGACTGCTTCATTCACGGAGAAAATTGTTATTTGCAAACAACAAGTCAGTACATACGTCAAACGAATCTGTAATTTCCACATATTAACATAAAATGATCAAAACTTATATGAATGTTACTTCAGGGACAAGACCAAGTAATCAATAAACATAAATTAAGCAGGAAATATCAAAGAAGGGCGGCAAATGAGACAAAAGAAAATAGATCAATTGAAAAAGATGATGGAAGAAAGGAAGAGAAAGGGCAATGGGATAAGGACTAATGGAAAGGATCGCAAAACTATGCTTAGGAACAAAATAGAAAGAAAAATGAGAAGGTAAGAAACAATACAACATTAAAAGGATTAAATAAGACAGAAAAAGGAAAACAGAGAGAAAGCAGGGAAGAGTGGTTAAAAGAAAACCTACAAGTGGATGCGAACGTAAAAGAGGCGAGAACAGAATTGAAATAGGGGGAAATAAGGTAATAATCGCGGAACTAACATATCTGAAAACAAAGGGGGAAATTAAGCGGGGTAAGTGAAAGTTGAAGGAGCCAAACGAAATAAAAATGTAGAGGACGCTCAATATGATGTCATGGGTCTGGTAGAATCCTGGATAGAAGGAAAGAATTTGGAGAAATATAGAACAGGATATTAAAGTGAATATACATATAAGAACCAAGGGTAAAAAAAGGACAAAGGATGAAGAAGTAGAGAAAAGAAGAAAATGAAGAATCTGTGGAGAGGAAGAGGACATGCTATGTAATGCACAGAAGTGGAAAGCACAAAGGGCAGCAAGAGTGAAGTGCTGGAAGAGATATCTCGCAAAGTATGTACAATAAAGTGAATTTGTCATGTTTTATTTGGAGCCCTTCCATTGCAGGGACCCAAGGGCATCAACATTTATCATTACACCACTGCTTGTTGAGCAAAACAACGTTAATAAAGTTAAAAAGTACGTATATTTACAATATGTAGATACAATAAAATAAGATTAAAACAAGTACCTTACACTAGGCTATACATGTATTAGACTGTTCAATTAAGCATAGTATGACGATCATAAATATTACGTCGTTGTTCTTTAACCTGCCGTTTCCATTTGTCTTGTTGATGTCCAACTCTATTCAATACATTCCCTCGTACACTCATATTATGAGACATAGGACCCCCCACACCAGCTGCCGTTTCATCCTATACAGACTAGATACCAACGATTCTATACATTAATTAGATTACCTCTTCATTTGTATGTTCTTGATAATTTCCTTTGGCGCGTTTATTCAATAGCGGATCCAAGATAATCAAGAAAGCCATATATATTACCAGGATCGAAATAACCCATATAACGATTATGACCACAACTTTAATAATGGTAACGTTACGATGCTCATATTTACATTCGCAACGGGGGCAGAACTCGTTCTCTCGTCCTTTGATCTTGTCACCGAGCTTTGGCACGATCACCCCATCGCAGTTACTAAAATAGACAAGTAAATTTAAGGTTGCATCTATCAGTCATCTACCATTTATTTGGTGGCACATTAGCGATATGAAAATTACGAGTGTTCAACGTGACATCTGTACTGTTTGTTACCAGCGCAATACTGGGACATCCGCAAATACATCGAGTGTTCTCATATGCTTGACCCTAGAAAAAGTTACTTGTAATTACAATTATTACAAGCAAACGTGACTTACGTGAACAAGAACAATTGACACGACCAAGGGCAGAAAAACCGTAAACATTGGCGGCCACATTTAAACGCTGAAGGTATAAATTGTGTCAAATGAATGAAATATTGAAGGTATATTTACCTTTGAGTAATTACTTTGTGATAAGCATTGTATGTGGCACTAACAGCTGACGCTTAATCACCTACTGGAGTTGGCAAGATGACTTCTGAAAATGAGAAAGTTGCTTTGATTACTGGCATTACAGGGCAGGTAAGTTTTGTTTTCTCAATGATTTTTGCTTTGTGCACCCACCAAAATCCGTGAGACAATTATCATTAATTTATTACTTTCGTATGAGTATTTTGACGTTTACAAATGATTTGTATTTGACAGATGACGATGACAGGATTTACCTGTTCGGTAAAGTAGTTTTCTACTTTTTTGAATCAGTTACGTCCGTGATCAGGTTCTCATCATTTATAAATACATCTGTACGAGAAATTTTATGAATCAATTGTTCATAATTTGCTATTTTATTTCTATGTACCTAAAGCACATGGCAACACACCTTTGCATAGCTTCAAAGTTGCTTATCAGTACATATCATTTATTTTGTTAATACAATACGATAACGATACCAAACACCATTTAACTATCAAGTGGGCGTGAAAATCGTGTACTTTTACCACACAGTGCGTTTCAACAAAGTTTGCAACTATTTTTAACGTTCTTAGTCAGTTTTATACAGGGTGTTACGTCCAAAGACCTTTGAGAAAGTAAAGGAATTCTTTATTTGTCGGCTATATTTTCTTTTTATCTTGACTACTCCCAATGCCTACTACCCAAGTGTGCAAGGGTGAATGCCTACACAACCCCATCCTTGCCTGGGTAAGTTTTTCCCACTCTTCCTACAACCACCATCCACAATTAAAACTAAGTCTCCGGCAGATTTTACTTTTCGCTCCGCTTCTTTAATTTGTAAACTACTTTGTCCTTCGCGTTAGAGTTGGAGTATAGTCTTACACCCATCTACTCCAAAATTCATTTACTAATAATTCCTTTGCCCTTCTCCATTGTCTTCCTGATATTAAATCTTGTTCGCTAATGACGTTCCGCGGTCTTCCGTTATCTGAATAAAGAACCTTTGGACATCCTCTTCTCTTCTATTACGTTTTGATCGCTATCAAACAACCTTCCGTGGACAGTCGTTTATTAGGTCCAAATGTATTGCCCTAGGTATTAATTAGCAGTGCTCGATTTGAGGAGGAACACGGTGGAACGACGTTTCGGGACCTCTCGCTCTTTTAAAAATAAAAATAAATCGGCACTAAGAGAGGTAATGAGATCAGTACTAGAATTTTTTGTTAGTGCGTAAATTACGAATTTGCGTGAAGTCACTCACCCCATATTTTCAAAATTGACTTTTATAATTGTCTGAAATCTTTTTAAGGGCTATAAAAATTTCTAGAACATAATGAAGAACCTCCAGAATTCTACAATTGCAAAACTTTATAATAAATACTTAAATAATTGAGGTCCAAAAACCATTGCGGTCGATGAAGAATCTGTTTCTTCTTGAGTGCACCCACGCGTTTAGCTGAAATGTCGTTATTACACCCTCTAAGGACCTAATTCTGTTTTATAGGATGGTTCATATCTGACTGAGTTTTTACTAAGTAAAGGATATGAAGTGTATGGAATCATTAGGCGTTCCAGTACGTTTAACACTTCTCGAATCAACCATCTGTACGATGATAAATATAAGCACAGTGGAGGAAAGATGCATCTTCTCTATGGTGACCTTACCGATTCCAGTTGCCTCGTGAAGATCATCAAAGAAGTACTCCCTCGTGAAATTTATAACTTAGGAGCGCAGAGTCACGTAAAGGTTTCCTTCGACCTTAGTGAATACACGGCCGAAGTCGATGCGGTGGGCACCTTAAGGCTTTTAGATGCGATACGCACATGCGGCCTGGAGAAAAAGGTGAAATTCTATCAAGCGTCTACGTCCGAGCTCTATGGCAAGGTTCAGGAAATTCCTCAAACAGAAAGCACGCCTTTTTATCCAAGATCTCCTTACGGTAAGTATTACGGTCTAGAATGCACTTCGCCGTACAGCCTCTTATTAATAGCTTGCGCTAAGTTGTATGCCTATTGGATTGTCATCAACTACCGGGAGGCTTACGATATGTACGCTTGTAATGGAATTTTGTTTAACCATGAAAGTCCGCGGCGCGGTGAGACATTTGTTACCAGAAAAATTACGAGGGAAGTTGCCAAAATCCATTTGGGTCTCTCAGAGTACGTCGTTCTAGGAAATTTGGACTCGAAGAGAGACTGGGGCCACGCGAAGGACTACGTAGAAGTCGGTATTCACCTGCGTTTTCACTATGATCAGCTTTTTCGTAGGTAATGTGGTTGATGCTCCAGCAGGACGCTCCCAAAGATTACGTGATTGCGTCCGGACAAACTCGCAGCGTGCGGGAATTTGTGGAAACCGTCTTTCGCTACATTGGGAAAGAAATCGTTTGGGAAGGCGAAGGCTTAAACGAAATTGGAAAGGAGAAGGATACGGGAATAATCCGTGTTAAAGTGGACGCGAAGTATTTCCGACCTACTGAAGTGGTACGAAAGGAAAGATTGGAAGTCTTGTGTCATTTTCACTAACTCTTCTGTTTCAGGACCTACTGCTTGGAGATTCTAGCAAAGCCCAACGGGAATTGGGGTGGCAAGTGAAGATTAAGTTTGAGGAATTAGTTAAGGATATGATGGATTCGGATATTCAGTTGATGAAAAATAATCCGTTGTCATAATTTACAAATCAATGATTTTCAATCTGCAGTTTAATTCTATTTATTTCCACTTCATTTTTATTATTATAGGTACATGTGGTATACCCTTTCAAATTACTATAAATGCATCATTTTGCAATCAAAGTAATGAAACAGTTGAGTACCGAGTTAACGTTTTTTCTGGTATACCAATAAACGAGCGCTTTGTGCAAAAAGAGTCATCGGAACGTATAAACCAACGCACCTATATAGTACCTCCTAATATTTGGCTCTGAAACTTTTCATATATTTGATATTATCGGTTACCCTTACCATAGACATATGAGCATAAGTTGTGATCTACACTACCCAAGTCGACAGCTCCCGCGCTAACAAAAAGCGGGAAAAACACGAACTCGGAACACCAGATAGTAATACAAACCTCTCACTGAACAATGGCCGGATTCCCTACGGTGCGAAAGGTAGGTTGCAATCACTTAAAAGTGTAAAATGAATGAAAATGCCGACTAGAGTTCCTACAAATTTAGACAGAATGCATTTAAAGCCAAAGAAATACTCATCTGATAAAAGAACCTAGGCGAAGAAAATTCCGAATCATTGTTCACAGAGGGTAAATATTGGGGAGAAATCTGGAGCAAGAGGTAACATTAACACATTTTTCGCCTGTGCAGAGGTAGATGCCGAAGGGATAAAAATCTATTGCGGCATTAATCCCGAAATATCTAGTTGAAGGTTATGTACCGTATCCTAGACCTTCAGATACCTTCTGGATTGTAGAAGGTCCAGCTAATGAAAAATGTATTTCACGTACTTTACGTAAGAGACTTCGAAATGTTACCTATTATTTACAAATGGAAAAGAAGTGCAGTCCCTTTGAAATCTATAGTGAGCTGACCATTTTGGCGTATCAAATGTTGTATTAAATTAACGTCAAATTTAAATTAGGTATTCAAATTCAAGTTATTTCCTCTGATTGTAATTTTTGTATATTGCAGTTGTGATGTAAAAGTTAATTACACTAAAAAAAGGCAGATTAGTACACGAAGAATTGAAGTCGCTAATCAATCCAAATGATTTGGTATGAAGTTCATTCTGTACTCGAAATGGGAAGAGAGTTTATAAAGTTAGAACAAACGGACTCAAAACAATATAATTAGGTACATGAAGTGTAAAAAAAAGGACAGACACTACGTGTTTCGACTTAACATCATCTTTAGGTGTTCTCTACAAGATGGAGGTCAAAATTGAAAAGAACATAATTATATTATTTATCTCAAAATCACAATTAGCACACTTAAAACTTAGACACTTTTATGTTTCAAAACGTGCTGTTTAAAATGGGTTTTAATATTTGTCCCATAATCACAATTGGCACATTTAAAATCCTTAGAAAGTTTATGTTTTAAAAGATGTCGTTTCAACAGGTATTTATTATTTGTCCCATAATCACAATCAGCACATTTAAAATCTATAGAAACTTTATGATTTAAAATATGTAGTTTGAAGCATTCTTTAACATTTGTCTCATAATCACATTTAGCACATTTAAAATCCTTAGAAACTTTATGTTTTAAAAGATGTCGTTTTAAGTTGCCTTTAACATTTGTCCCATAACCACAATCAGCACATTTAAAATCCTTAGAAATCGGATGTTGCAAAAGATGTTGTTTGAAGCATTGTTTATCATTTGTCTCATAGTCACATTTAGCACACTTAAAATTCTTAGACCCTATATGCTTTAAAAAATGTCGTTTGAAGTCCCGTTTAACATTAGTCCCATAATTACAAGTAGCACATTTAAAATCTTTAGAAATTTTATGTTTCAAAAGATGTTGTTTGAAGTATTGTTTATCATTTGTTTCATAATCACAATTAGCACATTTTAAATCCTTAGACTCTTTATGTTTTAAAAAATGTCGTTTGAAGTACCGTTTAACATTTGTCCCATAATCACAAGTATCACACTTAAAATCCTTAGAAACTTTATGTGTTAAAAGGTGCTGCTTAAGATGGGTTTTAAAATTTGTCTTATAATTACAATTAGCACATTTAAGATCCTTAGAAACTTTATGTGTTACAAGGTGTCGTTTAAGATGGGTTTTAACATTTGTCTCATAATCACAATGACCACATTTAAAATCATAAGAAACATTATGTTTTAAAAGGTGTTGTTTCAGACAAGATTGAGTATTTGTCACATAATCACAACTACCACATTTCCACAAATCCATAGAAACATTATGTTTCAAAAGATGTTGTTTGAAGTAGTATTTATCGTTTGTCTCAAAATCACAAACAACACATTTCAAATCCTTTGAAACTTTATGTTTTAAAAGATGTCGTATGAAGTTGCGTTTAGCATTTGTCCCATAATCACAATCAGCACATTTAAAAACCTTAGAAATTGTATGATTTAAAAGATGTTGTTTGAAGCAACGGTTATCATTTGTCCCATAATCACAATCAGCACATTTAAAATCTTTAGAAACTTTATGTTTTAGAAGATGTTGTTTAAAGTTGCCTTTATTATTTGTCCCATAATCACAATTAGCACATTTAAAATCCTTAGAAACTTTATGTGTTAGAAGGTGTTTGTTCCAATAAGATTTATTGTTGGTCTCATATTTACAAATACCACATTTAAGATCCTTAGAACCAGTATGAGTTAAAAGGTGCCGTTTAATATGGGATTTAGAATTTGTTTCATAATCACAATGAGCACATTTCAAATCTTTAGACAGCTTATGTGTTAAAAGGTGTTGGTTAAAGGAATATTTCTTGTTTGTCCCATAATCACAATGAGCACATTTAAAATCGTTAGATGCTGTTTTACACCGAGATAAAAGGTGATACTGAAAGTCAGAGTGTTGCTGTACTTCTTCGTTATAAGGAGATTTAGTACCAATAGTAATTTCGTCCTTTACTGTCACCAAAATTTCGTTCCTTACTGAAATGTGCTGTTCCTGAAGAAAGGAATGGATTTCTTCTTCTCGTATTGGTTCGATTTTAATGAGCGGTGTGTCATTATTGCCATCCATACCTAATAACAATAACTGGATAAACATGTTAAAAAATTGTTCAGGTTTTGGTTTATCAAAAATCTATTTTGGTATTAAATAATACAGGAGGGAGAATACTGGGAGATTTTCCTACCTGAGTGTTGAATAAGACAAATTTCACAGTCTACACACAAAGCACACACTACACTTTTTTGTGTCGGCACAGGGCACTTTGATGTTTGTTACTTGTTACGCCATTCGCCAAAGGTTACTGCGCATCCGGTTACGAGTTAAATAGGTTGGTCTTAACAACGAGGCGCGCAATTTAAATTGAATTGCGCTCCAAGAAAACATTTGTATTCTTAGCGCATTTTTGAAAAAAACACGCCATTATATTCGTTATGGCCGACTGAGATCTCAGCAATTACAATAGCTAGAGACTTCAAATTTTCCCTAAAAGCTTTTTCTGCTCTAGTCTATGTCGAGTTAGATTGCTCATGAGATAGGTAATTTAAAACTTCGCTAATTAAATTCTGATCGGCATTACAACTTGTTTTAAATTATCTCATAATGAAAATTTCCGCCTCAAAGACAACGGAATGATCGATTTGATTGCTGTAGTAGGCGCTTTAGGATTGCGAAATCACGTACTCCTTAAGGCGAATTTACACGGGGACAGTAACTAAAGCAAGTGACTAAAGCAAGTTACTAATTTTTAGCACATACGCATTTAGTATTTGTCTACACTAGTTTAGGTCACATTTCATTTAGTAACTAATTTAAAATGGCAGCAACTGAAAGTGTAGGTCTTCGTGTCGCAGTAAACCAGTGCATTATAGTACTATGTGACGAAATTATTGATCTAATAAGACGCGAACAAAACAAAAAAAGGCGTATGTGGGTTAGGAAATGGATAGCTCGTCGAAGCACCCATGGATTTTCTTCTATGCTGCTGAAAGAATTATCTGAGGAAGGTTTAGGAGAATACCGAAATTGCATGAGAATGTCTAAGGAAGCATTTGACATATTGTTAGCCAAGATTAGTCCTTTTATCACAACATGTGATACAATTATGAGAGATGCAATTCCGGCAAAGATAAAGCTAGAAATCACATTGACGTATTTAGCAACCGGAAATAGTTTTAGAACTTTACAAAGGTAGTTTCGAGTTTCCCGACCAGCCATTTCAAAATTTATTCCCAAAGTATGTGACGCAATATATGTCGCACTGAAGGAATACATTAAGGTAAGTATTATTTTATATTTTTATTGTTACAAGTATGTATGATACAATACGATGTACATACGATATGATATGTGTATGAAGGTACAAAAAGTTAGGGATTATACTGAATAGCTGATATCGCCTGTGCCACAATATCACTGTAACTATTAATACCTGGTTCAAAGATCATTGTATTATGATCTTTGCCTGGTTCTCCAAATTGATGTGAAGAAAATGATGTTGATGGTTGGAATTCATGCGTGTCTGAATATGAAGGCGATGGTGATGCTATCGGCGTTGTAGACAAAGAACTATGAAGTGATTGAACAGGACGCAAAGGTGTGCCAGACATTTTTTCAAGTTCTTGGATTCTAAAATGTGTTAGAACTGATTGAATTTTTTCTTGGGCCAATAAAGCACTAGCTGTGCTTAATTTCATTAACTGTGCTGCTACACATTTACCAAAAACCAGAAATTCGTTTTCCACCAGAGGTTCTTTATTCACATCTTTTGCAATTTTTTTCAGATCATGAATTGCTGAAGAAACTTGTTCTATATTAGATTTCCTTTTTTTACTTTTTGGAAGTTCAAAAGCAGCGATGCTTTGTGGGTGACTCTGGCATCCACTTGCCATTATTTTTGCTTCCCCATCTTGAGCATTTCCGGAAGGAGAATCCTGATCACTAGCGTCCGAGGTCTCATTTGGCGTTGAAGTTGCAATCTTAAAACCATAACGCAATTAATAAAATTAATAAGAGATTACGTAGAATATTGTTGGATAATTTTTTTTCTAGGTACCAGAAAACCACACACAATGGCAAATAATTGAAAATGGTTTTCGTCAACGATGGAATTTTCCACGATGCTATGGGGCAATCGATGGGAAACATTTCAATATACGGGCACCAGCTAACTGTGGTAGCGACTATTTTAATTACAAGGGAACTAACAGCATTATTATGATGGCCGTTGTGGATTACAATTATTGTTTCACCTACATCAATATTGGATGTAATGGAAGACAATCAGATGGAGGGGTTTTTCTCAATTCATTATTATACGACGCTTTGGAAAATGATTTATTGCCAGCCGATGGGTTTATAGTGGGAGACGATGCTTTCCCTTTAAAAAAATATCTCATGAAACCGTATTCACGGATATCGCTTACCAAAGGTCAAAAAATTTTTAACTATCGTCTGTCTAGAGCGCGGCGTATAGTTGAAAATGCATTTGGTATCCTTGTGAGCAGATTTCGAGTGTTTGAAAAACCCATGTCATGTTTACCATCAACTGTAGACAAAATCATTAGAACTTGTTGTGCGCTCCATAACTGGTTAAGAACAACGTCTGCAAGCAATTATATGCCCAGGGGATCTATAGACGAGGAGGATATCGACAATGGTTGCTTTACACAAGGGTCGTGGAGAAATGATAGTACCAATATCCCTCGATCCACCTCCGGAGGCACAAGCAATCATTCTTCTAGATATGCACGACAGATAAGAGACATGCTGTGTGATTATTTTGTGGGAGAAGGTGCTGTTCCGTGGCAAGAACGGATGATATATTGAATATTAATAGATATGTATTGACGAACATATGTTAACACTTATAAAATACTGTAATTATGTATCGAAATGTACTTACCGCTAAATTATCTTGCGTAGGTCTTTTATTATCCAGACAATGTAGAAATGCGTGCATTTCTTGGAACCACTTTACGTGAGGTGTATACACGCTGTCTGCACTAGTTCCCGATTTCTTAGAATCTTTGATTTTTTTTAATTCTTGGGAATATGTAGATCGCAAAGCCTTTATTTTGTTTTTGATTTCGCTAACACCGAAACCCTCTATTCCCATTACCTCTTCAAGTTCTCGGAATGCTGCTTCGCGAGCATTTCTATTTTTATATATTACCGCCTTTGTATTCCACAAGCATTCTCTAACCCTGTACTCCTGCACGAATTTTAATGTAGTATCTTCGTTCCAACGTGCCAAAGTGGACATTTTGTAAATATATACGTAATTTCAATTTCAACAATGACTTGTTACTAAAGAAAAGCTGTTTACATGTGCTAAGTGCATGATTTAGTAAAGAAATGATGTGGTGGGAGTACCTACTGGCTTTAGTAAATAGAATACTCTTCTATCTACTGGACTAAAATTTCCACTAAATTTCCTACTGTCTCAAGTACTAAATCGGACGTTTACACGCAGCCAGTCGCTAAATAAAGTAACTTGCTTTAGTTACTGTCCTCGTGTAAATTCGCCTTTACTTTCACTTATGATTATGTGATTGACGATTGCTAAAATCGTGAACAAACTGAAATAAGTTTTATGATAATTTTACCGATCACGAATTCCTAATCTATACCATTGATTAATAAGTTTATTCCCATTTCATATCATTACAAATGTTGGGTCAATATTGGGATTTCCGTGGATTACCCAATACCCACATATACAGTGCTATTTATTAAGAAGTAGACATGTCTACTTTTAAATGACAAAATCGCTTCTGAAGGGCGCCTAATTTTATGCAACCAAAATAACTTCTTAAAACAAATAAAGATCTCGCTAATTTGAATATTGCTGCCATTGAGATAATTGCTTTGGCTTCCCTATTTTTATTTTCGTTTGTGTGTGATGTGTTCAGATTAAGAAAAAGTTCTCAATTTGTATAATAATATTTCTTGTCCAACTGGCTTTATACAGAAGACATGGGATACGTCAAGTGCTGGTGCCGGTAACAGTTTAAGAAGTGTAAGAGATTTATGTTATAAGCCAAAGCAACAATACAAACTAATTAATATGACAGCCAGATGTTTATTTGTTTTAAAATAGTAAATTATATCACAAGTCAATAATGATAGCTATTATTTCTCCAGGAATATTTACGAACTGAAGCCGCTTCAGGGGCGAGGGAGTCAAATTCTCGAGCATTTTAACTCGTCACCCTCGAGAATATAAACAACACTACTATAGTATGCCCTTAATACATAAATAACAATAAAATATGTCATTTTAAGTTGCATTTAACATTTAATATCCTTAACTATGTGTTAAAAGGCGCCGTTTGAGGTGTTGTTTAAGATGGGATTTAAAATTTGTATCATAATCACAATGAGCACATTTAAAATCCTTAGAAGCTTTATGTTTCAAAAGATGTTGTTTGAAGTAGCGTTTATCATTTGTTTCATAATCACAATTAGCACATTTAAAATCCTTAGACTCTTTATGTTTTAAAAAATGTCGTTTGAAGTAGCGTTTAACATTTGTCCCATAATCACAAGTATCACACTTAAAATCCTTAGAAACTTTATGTGTTAAAAGGTGTTGTGCGAAGTTGCCTTTATGATTTGTCGCATAATCACAGTTGGCACATTTAAAATCCTTAGAAACTCTATGTGTTAAAAGGTGTCTGTTCCAGTTAAATTTATCGTTTGTCTCATAATTACAAATAACACATTTAATATCCTTAGAACCTGTATGTGTTAAAAGGTGCCGTTTGAGGTGTCGTTTAAGATGGGATTTAAAATTTGTATCATAATCACAATGAGCACATTTAAAAGCCTTAGAAACTTTATGCGTTGAAAGGTGGTGGTTAAAGTTAGTTTTATTGTTTGTCTCATAATCACAATTACCACATTTAAAATCCATAGAAGCTTTATGTTTCAAAAGATGTTGTTTGAAGTAGTATTTATCATTTGTTTCGTAATTACAACTAGCACATTTAAAATCCTTAGAAACTTTATGTATCAACCTGTGTCGTATGAAGTTGTATTTAGCATTTGTTCCATAACCACAAGCAGCACATTTAAAATCTTTAGAAATTTTATGATTTAAAAGATGTTGTTTGATGTTACTTTTAACATTAGTCCCATAACCACAATCAGCACAGCTAAAAACTTTACACACTTTGTGTTTTAGAAGATGTTGTTTAAAGTTGCCTTTATTATTTGTCCCATAATCACAATTTGCACATTTAAAATCCTTAGAAACCGAGCTATAAACTTTATGTGTTAAAAAGTGCCGTTTAAGGTGGGA